CTGACTAAAGGTGCGTGCCCAGTGTTTCAGAACATATTCAAGACGATGAGTCCCCATGTCCCCTGTCCCCAACCAAAAATTTTTCAAAAAGTTCAGGCCTAAAGGTGTGCACCCACTGGGTAAGATCCAAGATTGACAGCTTGTGTGAGTGAAATGTGAGCTGAGTAGGACGAGTCTGGAACCGAAAATACGGTAGCACATGGTAGCACCAATTCCAATGGTTTCTCATCATTTCCTCATTATAATGAGGATTTTCTGGAGTATAGCCAACTTATGTTAGTTGGTGAATATGGGTGCCCCAAATTCCAATGGTTTATTGTCATTATCCCAATCAAAATGGTCATGGTGTATTCAATTTTCAGACATACCCAAGTCATTGATGAATCTCATGTGCTGATGAATCCCCAATGCCCCCATCAAACAACCACTTGACGTTTGACGTGTTTCTTGTCCAGAATCAACACAACATATCACACCAAAATCTCATTAAGTTGACCATTTCTATAATTAAACTCATATGACCTCATAATTATATACCTACAATGTGGGCCCCCCTAGTTATAATTTGGTTTATAAACGCCATTAACTATAGTTATAAGTATCATAAACCATAGTTATTGGAGGTATAAACCAACTTAGAAATCTAGGGGGGCCATGTTGTATATCCGTATATCCCATATCAACTATCAATATCCCACATGATTTCTGGAGATGTTCACGATTTTGCCAAGCCCCATTGACCCCACATGATTTCCCACAGCACTCTCCAGTGGACCAGCGGCCGACGCGAGAGGGTGAAAGTGGCGGCCTTTGATGAGGCACGGGGGTTTGTTGGGAAAATCTTCACCAGCCATGGCTTTTTACCATCGAAAAAAAAGGGGGTTCCGGTTCCAATTGTCCCATCATCCAATTCTATGATTTATCCACCCCAAAAAATTGATCTGGGGAAAGAATGTTTGTGCTTAAGAAAATGGGATACAGATTGGGCTTCGTTGATCGTTATTTTACTACCCAAGTGGATTAATATCCAATAGTAACCATTCAAAGTCATAGTTCGTAATCACTAATAACCATTAGTAGCCATATAATCATCCATTAATAATCCGCTCTTATTTTCAACTAGCCATTGGCTGGTTATACCCCCAATATAATCCATTAAAAAACATCCTATAATTAATAATAGTATCACCAACAATTAATGGGGTTTAATCCACTAACAATCCATTGAGAATCATCCACTACCCTCTGGTAAACTAACATACCTATGGAAAACCACCATTTTTAACAGGTAAATCAGTAAATCAACTATCAATGGCCATTTTCAATAAACTGTGAGTTTTACCAAAGGGTATATCCCCAATTCCAATGCATTATCATCATGATGGGGGTGCAAAAAACAACTTATAACTTGGGGGCACCATCCTGCAATTAACAGTCCATGAAAAATCATCCAATATTGTTGTATCACTAGCAATTAAATGGGGTATCCACTAATCATCCATGAAAAATCATCCACTTCAGTTTTGAGTGTTACTGATTTACTGATTTACCTGTTAAAAATGGTGGTTTTCCAGTTCGGTATGTAAACGTTTACCAGAGGGTAGTGGATGATTCTCAATGGATTGTGGATTAAACCCCATTAATTGTTGGTGATATTATTATTAATTATAAGATGTTTTTTAATGGATTATATTGGGGGTATAACCAGCCAATGGTTAGTGGATTAACCTGCCACCCTGGAGGCCTGTCGCCAATCCGCCCTGCTGCTGGGCGTGTGCCAAGCCGCCACGGCGGCCGCCAACATGGCCCAAAACGTGCCCGAGGACGGCCTCGGAACCGCCGGTGCTGCGGTGGCGCCGGTTTCAAGGGGAAAATGATGGGAAACTGATGGGAAATCCATGGAAAATCATGGGAAAAATGGTGAAAATCATGGGAAAAATGGGGAAAATCATGGGAAAAATGGTGGAGTTTGGAGAAAATCATGGTGAAGAGTTGCTTCAAGATGGTGAAAGCTGAAAATTGCAATGGATTACTATGAATTGGTGACTAAAACAAATGGGACCTCACGAATCGGGGACTCACCAACTAGGCTTATGAACCACTTACGTTTCGTGGGATGATCCAAGAGGTCTTGCGAAGCAGACTGTGGTTGTTTGACAACGGAGATTTGTAAAAAAAAATGACTGACAGCTTGGATTTCTGGGTATTAAAGGAGTAGACCATTGAAATTTTCGATGACTAAAAACCGAAGAATGTGCATTGGGAAGCGCAACTGTCTGAAATCGCGGACTATTTTTCATTGAGAGTGGGATTTGAGACTCAAAATCAAGATGTTTCACCATGATCTGATATAAGTATACAAATGGGCGCTGTGACCCCACTCCATGCTTCAGCGTGAGAATCGCCTCGAAAACTCATGTTCCCATTGTCCCACAGATGACGTGGGAAACAAATATGTGGATTTAGAATGGTTCGAAACCATTGAATGTGCGATCTGTTTGACTGAAGATGTTCCATCGAATCGATGGTTTTCGCTCTTAATCTGTGTAGCAGATCATGATCCATTTTGCCATCAGTGATGCTGGTAGTTTGTTGAGGCGTAGGGAAAAGTGTTGGTACATATACCCGCAAACCCCATTTGCCCGCACCTGCTTACAGCTCATGAACGAGAGTCACGAAACACATTTTTTTGCGGGATGAAATGGACATCGTGATCATGTTGGCTATAATGATAGAAACGCACAGCCTAGGGAGCTCTGCGCTGGATTTGACAATACCGTCATCACATTGATGGTTAGATCATTAAAGCCTAAGCCCTGAACGTTGAAACCTAAAACCAAAAAGCCTAACCCCTAAGACCCTAAAGTCGAAACTCTAAACCCTTGGGATCCCCTTCAATACCAAGTTGTTTGGGGAGTGTGATTTAGATTCCATTCCATATATCTGTCTTGATCTGCCCTTGAACAGGATGAAATCATGAACATGTTGTAATTAGCACGACAAAAGAATTGTGGGGGTGCAGATGAATATACCATGCATCGATGGTATGGCAAAATCGCTGTCGTTCAAAGATGAGAACGACAGACTCACTTGAAAATAATTTCGAAACCTCGCGGGAAATCCATGTCTATGAGTGGTCTGGTAAAACCGACTTGTTGAGTTAGCTGTAGGTCTAGTGCCAGTTTTCCACAACCGGTAGCTATAATTTATTTAGATGTTCCAAAGCGTTCCAAACAAACATACACAAACACCTTGCTGGTGGTTTTCCATCCATGCTTGGGACGATCCCCAACGAATCGTTTCAGAGGATTGAAACATGTTGAAACCATATTTCTGGGACAGGACCAAAGCAGATTGGCGCAGAGCCTTTCAAAAAAAACACATTGGCGCAGAGTTTTGATTGACTTGCAAAAAACAAAAAGAAAACAAATCAAATTATCCATATCGCACCAATGAATTGACAGCATCTCAAGTCATTGTTCATGATTGCTTGCATGGGTGTGTATTCATTTGGTATTGAGGTACGGGATCTAATCATCTGGAGATAAAATATGTCATGCTGATCGAGCCTTTGAAGGGCAAATGCCAATGTCTATGTGCCGCTTGGGATCCTTGCCGCCGTTTGCTCCCGAGACCCTCAAGAGAGGTGGACGATTTTGACCAGCGACGCCGACGGGAAGAACACGGCAACTGGGCCCCCACCGCTTCCGGCCACGGGAGCGAAAGCCCCGAGTCTAGCTGAGGGTGTCATGGTGAATGCAACCACAGATAGAAACCTTTCACAGGCGATCGAAGTCTTTCGAAAAATGATGGTAGTTTTCCACAATGACACATCTGATATTTTGTCTGAACTCCAGAAGGTTTTGGTGGGCATTGAAAATATTGGAGGAGGTTGGGAGATCAACAGGATCTCGGCCTCTCAGTCAACTCACTGGCTGCCGGGGTCAGCTACTTTGCCGGCATCGTGAAAAGCTGCCCACTGTAGGGGCAAGCATCCGGAGCAGCCCGGGTCCGACAGGCAGCAACGCACCTGAAGTACATCCACGCGTGGGTTGCTGTCAAGTTTCCCCATCAAAATGACCAACTGAGGTGCCTTTTGTAATCCAATAAATTCAGATGGAACCTAGGTGGAGAGAACAATTTTATCCATTAATAATTTACAATCCAATTTGAAGGGTCACGAATAACTCAACCCAGACCAAAATCTTGCCGCAATGCAGGACATGAGGGGATTCAAAGGCATTTGTTGCAGATCTGGAGGCCGGATCAGCGGAGGTGTTCAGACAGACATCTCAAGCCACGGAAAATGGGGAATGAATCTGGATGAACCGGGGAGCTAAGACATGTACATGATGGTTACGGCTATGAACTGTTTGGGGTATACCAATAACATGACCGCAAGCCCGTGACTTGAATCTGGTTCTGATGTTTCGAGAATGGACAGTTTGGCTACAGAACTGGCAGAAATGAGGCACGACCAACAAAAAAACGGTTAGTGTTTTCATGGATTTTCAATGTTCAACCCGTGTTTGGGGGAATTATCCCAATTGACAAATTTGCATTGTGGGGACGGGCTGAAACCAGCAACCGACCAGAGGAGAAAATATGAGAAAATAGTCAGAGAATCAACAAAATGATCCAGAGCATTTCAGTTGTGCACATTGCATGTGAGTACGCAAGCAGACTTGGATGTGGACTATCACCATTGAATTCGAATATTACACTGGTTGGTGGTTTGGAACATGAATTTTATTTTCCATATATTGGGAATTTCATCATCCCAACTGACTGTCATATTTTTCAGAGGGGTTGGCTCAACCACCAACCAGATCATTACGGGCTGATGACCAGAGACCACACCAATTGCAGTGAAATCACAGGATGGCCCCCAGTCGAGCTCACGTTCAGTTGCCGAAGAAGAAGTTGCGAAAAAACCGATGGTTTCTTTGGTTTATGGTAGATTCAGATATAACCATAGTTAATGGGCTTTATAAACCAACTTATAGCTGGAGGGCACCATCCAATGGTTGGTGCCAACCAATGCGTTTTGCTGCTTCAAACCCCACGTTCGATGCCTAACTTCAACCCTCCCTGGTCCACCAGTCGAGGCCTTTCTGGTCTTCGAAGCTGGCTAAAGGCGCGGAAGGGGGAACAGCTGCCTCCTGGTGAGGAGTTTTTCTGCCTCCAATAGTGGCGTGTTTTTGGACGGGAAGAAAAAATTGAGCAGTGTGCAGAATCTGTGTTGCTGGCGGAATTCAGGAAGTTATCTAGCAACCTCACCACGAAGGAACATTTCAAGAGCCATAGATGATTGGAATCCCTATCAACCAACTATAGTATAAAGGGATAACGAAAGGTTTTGAGCGCTGTTCACTTGGTTGCTAAATGTATGTTGGCATATTTTGCAGGTTTAATGGTATTCCGATTACCCTCAAACGAGATCGAGGATATAAACTGGGCAAACTTGAAGGGTTGAGGGTAATATCAGCAAGAATTTCCAAGACTGGGTTGTAGTGAGGGATTATCTCCAATAAATGGATAAAACGGAAGACATTGGAACTCACCACATAGGCTCAAGGTACTAGTTGTAAAGGGGCCTCAGCTGTCGGTTCACATTTCCTGTTCCACAGCGAAGTGCGGCAGTGGATGATTTCAGAGATACTGAGCCGCTCTTGGGTCAGGCATGGTTTGCTTTTTTTTGAGCCGACCATCATTCTGGAGAGTGTGTTTGGCCACCTCACATGACCTCATTATCATTTTAGAAATGGAACTGGAATCGAGTTTTGGATTGATGACATATCACTGATTGTCAAGATTGACTAATGTAATCATTTTTGCTGGTGAATTGTCCATACTGTATTTCTTGGGGCTAAGCATGGATTTTCCATTCATATTGATGGTATATCATCATTGATGGTCAATGATGCTTCATATTCTCTCAAGATTGCAGGTGAAATTCCCATAGTTTTCAGACTTCGCATTCCCGCCCCGAAATTCACATAGACCCTGAGATTTGCCATTTTTGTTGTGGAGACTAAGTTTCCAACCCTCTACATGGCAGCTTCTATGTCAATTTGGGGATACTTGAAAGATCATCGCCCTTGATAACTGGCTACGTGGGATTATAACCCATTATCAGCCATGTTTATGGCTTACCCTAAAAATGACGACTACAAAAAGCTGGCTTTTACTTCGCTGGCCCAGCTCGGATCCCTTCCCCATTGCCACGAGGCGCCCTTCTATTGCCGCGTTTGGCCTGAAGCTTTTCGAAAGGCGCTCCGGGCTTCATGGGTTAACCCTGATCGGCGGCTGGGCTGAGGTGAACCCTCCGATGCCCGAACGAAATGGAGGTGTTTCATGGGAAAATCATCTATAAATGGAGTCTATAGGTTTACCATCACAAAAAACCATCAAAATCATCTGTAGATGGAGGGTTTTTAAGGGGAAATCCTTGAACTAAACGGAGGTTTGCCATCATTTATCTGTCGGTCATTTTTTGGTGACCTCATCTGACCTCATCCAAAGATCATGGTGATGTTTTTTTGGTCAAATTGTCCCGAAATGGCCTTAGATCTAGTTTAGGACTAGGAATCTTCTAGACTACCCAGATTATATGGGCTTTAACCAGCAAACATGGCGATGTAAGATAAATGCCGGTTGCTTGATGAATTTTCTGGGAAAGTTTTACCCTCCAGCAAACCAAGATTGGAAAACACGCAGTTTCGGGTGGAAAATGCTCCACACATGGTGGACGCTCACGCTTTTCCAATATGTGCATTCCCAATTGTTCAGGGCACATCCATACTGAAGAGGTCGCATGCACTAGGATACGTGATCCATATCTGTTCCTCCTGTGTTGTTCCCTTCACCCCCCATGAATCATGGTTTGATAGTGGATGACATCATATTTGAGACCATGGAATGGAGCTGTTGAATATAAACGGAGGATGCTTGGGTGATTCTTGGTTGTCCAAGCCTAGAATACATGTTCACGGAATTTACAGAGTCCGCCAATCATGTGTGCTGGAGCTAGAAAGCATGTTTTCCGGCAAGTTGTCCCTTCATAAAAGAGTAAAAGAATGGAAAAGCGACAAACATTTCCAGCGGTGGGGTGACTGGAGCCGCATGGGTGCACTGGCGCAGCCAACGTTGGCAACGTGTCAAAGATGGAGGATGACTTGGAATGCTTCCAAAATTCGCTGAAAGTTCAAAAACCCACCGGAAACCAAGATTTTTTATATATCCGGAGAAAAGAAATAGGCTTTCCTATGGTTTTCCTATGCTTTTCCTATGGTTTCCTCAGAATCTCCCACACTTCACTCCATTGGGTTCGGTCTCGTCCCGGCGAGGCCCGATCCTTCGGCTTCCGCATGGCCACCGCCATCAGTAGCATCGGATTGGTCTTTGATGCTCGGCGTCAAAATGCCAACGGTTGGTCACTCATGTTGTTACCCTCTGGTCAACATACAAAAAGCTATTGAAAATTGTGATTTATAGTGGATTTACCCATTAAAAATTGTGATTTTCCATAGTTACGTTAGTTTACCAGAGGGTAATAGTGATTAATTGTGGTTAATAGTGGTTAATTGTGGTTAATAGTGGTTGGTGGTTTGGAACAGGAATTTTATTCTTCCATTCAGTTGGGAATGTCATAATCCCAACTGACTTTCATATTTTTCAAAGGGGTGGCTCAACCACTAACCAGAAATGGTGGATTGAATGGAATAGAATGGGATAGAGAATGGGATAGAATGGACATGTAGTGGGACGGATAGTGAGATTTTTATTTTGCAACACTCAAGATGTCGAAAAGTTTCCCCCAGATGTTCCAAATTTTCCAAGGTATTGTCGGCATCTCGGAGGGAGCCTCCAGGGTTGATCGAAATCGTGTTTGTTTATTGGGAATAGCCTCTGGCAATGAAACGTGACAATGGAAAATCACCTATAAATGGAGGTTTCTAGCTGGGAATAGTGTAATCTAATGTGATCTAAATGTTCATCTACATCATCTACGAAAGAGGGATGTTCAAGTGCCAGGTTTGATTTCCGGATGGTAGTTATAACCAACAATATCAGGAGATCATGGGGTAGAATAGTACCAACTTTGCAATTTGGGAATTCCAGCTAGCGATGAAAAATGGCCTGCACATGGGCAAAAGAACACGCTGATATCAGTGTACGAAATAGGGATGGTCAACGGATGTCACTGGGATAGGCACACCCATGGAATCAACCCACGCCAAACAGTGGAGTAACCTGGTGATGGTTGAAGTCCCACCCATTTCTGGCAAAATAGGGATGGTTGATGGTCGGGTGAAACCCACATCCACCAGGTTCAGACATAATAAGTGTTAACATCATCCATCAATATTTCCATGAGATCGTTGACTCAGGTTGATTCCCATTAAATCTGTTTTGCATGGATAGTCCTACAAGAGTTGATATGTCCATAGATTAAACGTCAATGTCATTGGCATTATATTCCATTCGAAATAGGGTATAGTATAACTTCAAAAATAGAATCCTGTATGGAATATCCTGCACCCATCGGATATCATGTAGTTTTTTCATAGTTAAATCCTATTGAATCATACTTTTTCTATTCCCCAAACAATCTAAATGCAACATAATCGGGAATTTCAGGATCCTAAAATGGAGGTACTGTACCACATAAGGCCATATTTTCTGGGGATGTTCCCTTACAGAGGCCTTATTTTTCGGCCTTTTTTTTTGGTAGGCACCTCCAATTTCTTCCCAATGGATCCCATGGATCCTACAAGGTGGTGCCCCCCAGTGATGGAACGTTGGTTTATAAGCCCATGAATACTATAGATATATCACCAACAAAAACCATAGTGAAATTGGAGTTATGTGAACCCCAACTGAACGCGTTCTCGAACGGGGGCACCACCTTGTATGGATCCTACCCCTTGGTCCCTAGGCATTGGCAGAGCCCAATGCGGTTTGGCCGCATCGAAACGGACCGATGTGGACACTGGTGACCATCGTGTTGATCTTGACGCCTGTGCAGGGAGTGCCTTGAAGCCTGATCTGGTGGGTAAACCATGGGGGCCCCGGGTACCCGGTAAACATACAAAAAGCCTGCTTGAAAATGGTGATCTACCCATGAAAAAATGATTGTTCCTGGATTATTTTTAAATAAATGGATTTACCCATTAAAAGTAGTGATTTACCCAGCTACAAAATGGTGGATCTTTCCATAGTTATAGTGGATTTACCCAGCTACAAAATGGTGATTTTCCATCGTTTTTTGTAGGTTTACCAGAGGGTACCCAATAGCTGGATGGTTTATTTCATGGAAAATCCGAACATCAAATGGAGGATGATTGGGGCTACCCCTATTTTAGGAGACCTCCATATGGCCAAAAAAACGATTGTTTTAATGTGGAAATTCTGGGAAACCATGGAAACATCTCGGAAAATCCACCTGAAATGGAGGTGTTGTTTGCCCAACATGGTGGTTTTGTATGGTTCTGTTGTGTTTGTTTTATTGATGTGGTAAACCCAGTATCAAACTATTCCAGTAGCTAACCCTGTGGGGGCAATTTCAAATCATCGCAAATAGAAGTATGATACCCAATTTCATAGGCCTCTATTGGGGATGGTTCATGATTGGGTTTGACACATTCGGGATCATGATGATATGCCATAAGCCATGGGATTTGGGGGTGACAAACACATATGATTAACCATCCCCCTGAAGACGTCGTAGACCCTGAGAATTGTCCAAAATCGTTCAACCGTTCCGGCAGGGTCGTTGTCGTTCAGAGAGCATAGCTTTGACCCTCCGCCTGCCGTTGAGCTGAACCATGGCCGAATCCCCAATTGTTCATGGTCAAATCCTCGATTTTCATGGTAAAGTCATTCAGTCCGTATTGAAAGCATGGATACATCACAAGTGTTGATGGTTAAATCATGTTAAATCACATGAATTGGAAGATTTAACATGTTAAATATGATAAATCATGATAAATCCCTATGTTAAATCCATGGCTCAATCCCAATTTCTTCCATCTCCAGGTCATCCACGCCTAGGCCTCGTTACAACGCAGCCTGCGGCGCTTCTGCGGTACCGCTTTGGGCAGCCTGCTGGCAGCGGGATCCATCGCATTGGTAGGCGCGGTGTTCCAGGATCCCGCAGATCGTAAGTGGCAGCTGGTCACCATAGGGAAAATCCGAACATTAAATGGATGACAATGATTTGGGGGTACCCCCATGACAAAACGGAAACCTGCATTTAGATGATGTGATATAGTTTCTGGTTGGTGGTTTCAAAGATTGTTTATGACTTTCCATATGCTGAGAATTTCATCATCCCAACTTACGAACTCCATCATTTTTGAGAGGGGTAGGTATACCACCAACCAGATGAGCTGTTCCATGATTCAATAGTAACCATAGTTAGTAACCATAGTTATAACCCGTGAAATTCCATGATTCAATCCATTATTTACATCGGCTGGTTTTCTATTGGATCATCCCACGGATTTTTGATCCATAGGGTGATCCTCCGGATATCAATGGTGGTGAAAAACCGGATTTGTTTAAGCAAAGTGGGTTTATCATTCCAATAACTGAGTTTCTGGTAGATGTATCTCTATGTCTATACTTAACAAAAAATGGAGTCGGATGTCTCAAAATGGGAAATCCCCTCAAAAAACGGCGGCTCATAGCTGGGAAGATCATCGTACTAAATGCCAGAAAAATGGTGAACGAAAAATCTGAAAGTGGGAAGATAATGGGATTTTGCCATCAAATATCGCGATTCTCTGCTGGGGATAATTCAATGGCCATGCAACAGGAATCGATTGATTGGAGGTACCTACCTTTTTTTTAGGCCGAAAAATAAGGCTTATGTCAGGGAACATCCCCATAAAATTTGGAAATATGGTGCATCTCCATTTTAGGATCCTGGAATGACCATTGAGAAATGGGATTCGTCACATCAATCTGATCAGCATGAGGCAGAACTACATCCCTTGGCCGATTTGGTGGTTTCCTACAGTGGGTACCCCAATAACTGGATGGTTTATAATGGGAAAATCCGAACATTAAATGGATGACAATGATTTGGGGGTACCCCCATGACAAAACGGAAACCTGCATTTAGATGATGAATATAGTTTCTGGTTGGTGGTTTCAAACATTTTTATTTTCCATTTCATGTATGGGATGTCATCCTTCCCATTGACGAACTCCATCATTTTTCAAGATGATAAAAACCACCAACCAGGTTTGGTTAAATGTGACTAGTGTTACAAGTTGGTTTATAAGCCCCATTAACTATAGTTATTTGCGTACAATAAACCATAGTTATTGGAGTTATGTTCACCAACTTTGCTATCGTTTGGGGGCCCCACATTGTAGTAGATCATCGGAAGCCAACTGTTTTTTTACATGCCATGTGACCATCAATCACGACCTCCAACCATCGGCCGTCACAAGAATCATGGGGCTATCGATGAGCAGTGGCTGCGATCTACCCCTGTTGGTTGGTGATTAGTTCGGGGATTATACTATTGCATGTTCATGGAAAACAATGCCAGTATATTGGATTATAATGGTACCCCTATATTGATGTTCATGGAAAATGCATCTAAACCTAATAAGAATTGGGGATTACAATAGTCCAAGAACGGGATTCATCCAACCAGTATTTCATGGAATGATAGAGGGTTTTATTTCACACTGCTCAGATGATTCAACCAGTAATGTCAACCGCAGACCGTTGTTGGTAAAGAGTTGGGGGGTCATCCCACAGTTGTTTCAACTGATGATCAACAGCCGGCGTAACATTCATCCGGGGTTTCTGCCTTCTCCTGGAGGCATCAATTGAGATCCTGAAAAATCTCCATCCTGTGCACCATAGAGAAATGGTGCCCCAAACGATAGCTAAGTGGGTGAACATAACTCCAATAACTATGGTTTATTGTACTTATATCTATAGTTAATGGGGTTTAAGACTCCCTGGTGGCCAGAGATGTTCTCCTTGATCTCTTTGGTCTTTTATGTTGCTGAAGTACACAGTTTCTTCCATCCTGCGCGATGCAGGTCGTCCTGATCTTCGCATCCTCTCCAGCCATATCTTTGCCCTGTGCTTTGCGCTCAAGTTCTTTGAGCCCGTGACCCACCTGTGATTTCAATGCTGGATTTTGGTGATTGGAGATACTTCAATGGTGATTTCATGGTGAATGAATGGAACTGAATGGGATTTGTTGGTGATCACCCCGGTAGTCTGCTGTGGATGGACTGGTGATTTAGGAGGGAGCTTCACTGACACATTAGTGGGTGTTGAAGATCATGGCGGATACAAAAAACGGGTAGACAAACCAACCCTAAAAAGTGTTACCATCTGGTTATTTAACATAGCGAACTGGAAAATCCCTTATAAATGGAGGTTTCTAGCTGGGAAAATCATCTATAAATGGGCCATTTTCCATGGCTATGTTAAATGACAAGAGGGTACTCAATGTGGTGGCCGTCTATCTGGTTGTAAGATGTTGAGTAGGAAATGTGTTTTTGCTTGTGGAAGCATAGGCATGAACTTGTATCGGCGGCAGGCTTGAAGGAATCTTGAGTTTGTTTTCAAAGGGATTGAGACAAATTGATGGTATCTCGTTGCAGCCACATTCAACCATTATTTTGGTGATGTATTACATCTACAATACCACTACGCTAGCATCATGATCAGGACCATACCATTCATTGCCGGGTTATTGTTATCAATTCGGCCAATCATTACACCAGCTATCAGTCGTTATACCAGTATATAAATAAGGGAATCACAAATGATTTTCATCTGATTGGTGGTTTGGAACATGAATTCTATTTTTCCATTTCATATATGGGATGTCATCCTTCCCAACTGACGAACTCATATGTTTCAGAGGGGTAGGGCTCAACCACCAACCAGTTGTAGATCATTTTCTCAGGGAAAACCTGCCAAGGGGAGTTCCAAGTGCGTATAGAAGCATTGTTTTTGGATCATATCCCAACTTCAAAATCTGATCGCTCCAGTTGTACCCATAAAACTAACCCCAACTGCACCACCAAGTCTGGAAAATCCTCTTTATTCCCCATTTTTTATGCCGGTTTTAATGGCAAAAATCATCGATAAATGGTGCATTGTTCGAGCCACCAGTAGAATTTTCTTGGCTTCCAAGATTGCATTCCTCCACTTGAGGAGTTGCAATATGCTGGAACAGTACCTCGATCCACGGAGGAACTGTAGAGAGCTGGTGAGAAATGTGAGAAGATCTGCTCAAAGATTTGGGTAAATTATAACGACCGGGCCCTGGAATCATGGCTTACAAGGGAAATCATCCCCAAATGGCCCAGCAATTCAGGTTAGTGAAATATGATAATTTACCCAGAAAGATGTTGGATGTTCATTGGACAGAAATTGATGATTTCTTTCTGGATTTCACTTAGATTTCATGCTGGTTTCATGGTGGTTGTCCGAGGTTCAATGGATAGATCCTGGGATTGAAACAACATGATGACCCCTGCCATGAGATCCATGAGTTGAGGCCATGTTCCGGGTCTATGTTAGTTTCTGGGATGGTATATGATGTAATCATAGATATAGGTCATGATATAATGATAGTGGCCATAGTTTGTACATATATGTAAATATGTATACATATGTATATATATATACATATACATATATACATATATATATACATATATATATATATACATATATATATATATATATGTGTGTGTGTGTGTATGATATGTGATAATATAACTAGAAATTTGGGTGATGTTTGATGATTTAATTTGTATATTCTGTTGTGATTTGGGGAGTTCAACTTCAGAGACCGTTTTGACTTGTTCATGACTGTTTTCATATCATGATGACGAATGGATATCACTACACTCTTACATAGAAGTTCAAGAGACTTTTTGGTGGTTATAGGTGCTCAAAATGCCAGTTCAATATTGGCCGGGACCGCTTTCAAACCCACTTGTCGAAGAATCGGAAAAAATGGCTCAGACTTTCCCAGTTTCTCTGGTGTCCACATGCTCCCATTTATTGTACCTAGGCAGGTGCACTTCCTGGTTGCGCAGGTACCCAGTCACTTGTGAAACCGGCCCTTTCCTTTCCTTCAAAAGTCATAATATAAGTAAAACAATAGTAAACCATCCCCCAAATCACCATTTTTATAGGTGGTATGTCTACCATTCCCAGTCATGGATGGTAAACATGACATTGTTTTACCCACAAAAGGTATCGCCTCGAAAGCATTCCCAGGTCACCATGTTGCTGAAGTATCTTATGTCCAAGTCGTTTGGTAAATGGTGGCGATTTCATCAGACTGTCAGAGTGGCAATTCCTTTAACTGGTTGGTGGTTTCAAACATGGTTTATTTTCCATAATATATGGGATAATCCTTCCCATTGAGTAATATTTTTCAAGATGGTTAAAACCACCAACCAGTTTAAGGTTGATGTCAGAAAACACTTGACAACACAACTCACATTGCTCTATGTCTCGCAACATGTAGGTGTTTTGCAGAGTTTCGCACATGTGAATCGTTTGAAAGACGATATGTCCCAGCAAATCCGCTGTGTTACCCGCAGTGTTTTGCGCCCCAAACTCAATGTGTTCCATGTGTTTTTCCAGAAACAATGTGGGAGACAATGGAAACACGGTGAACAAAAATTGATCCAGAAAACTGAGAAAAATCTCCCCAAGCAGTTTTCCATTTCTGAGAAATCAGGTGGCGTTCGTGACTTACATGGTGGTGATTTTCAGCTTGACGGATGAGCTCGACATGGGGCCTGAGGTGATCGGAGGGGGGAATTGATAGTTACCCTCATTGATGGATACCCTCTGGTAAACTAACATAACTACTATGGAAAATCACCATGTTTAATGGGAAAACTCACTATTTCTATGGCCATTTTCAATAGCTATGTTAAATTACCAGAGGGTATATAATATTGGGGATGGATTCATATGGGAAATTGTGGCACCCACTTTTGTTGTAATATTAGGGATGGTTGATCATTGGGGTTGCTATTGAGTCATGTTACGTACTCATCATTGAATGGAATTTCAAAGGTACGAAATCACAAAAAAACACATACCGACGGCAAAGGAAACCTTCACCCGTGCTCATATTTTTTGGGGTAGAACCACATGATGTTTGCCCAAAAAAGGTCCGGATATGTGGGTAATAGGTCCGGTCTAAGCACGTCTAAGCAGGTGATCCCAAAAAAGAGCTGCTGATTCTTCAGGTGAACTGATTGGAGCCCATAACACACCAGTTGGCTGCTTCTACGGATAACCCATTTTAAGGTTCTGTAGCATCAATTGCAAGACGTAATCTTCGACATCCTCAATCCTTGGAAGCCCTCCAAAATTGCAACCCAGGGTTAGGGATCAAGAAATGCTGATTGTTCCTCTTTTTGTTGATATGTCCAACATGTTCAGCGAAAGCCTAATCCAATTGGTCTGGATAGTAAAATGGCGGTGAAGCCAAAGGCGGGAATTCTGTGCCAAAATTTCCTAAATTGAAAACCCAAGAATTTCAGCAGAAATGACCAAAGACCAGAAATTGCCAGGACTTTTGATAATTTCTCTTTGGAATTACAGCAACTGCAAGACAAATCGGGAAGTGAAAGCCTGGAAATGATGAATAGAAAATGGATTCTATTCGATCTTGGGGTTGTTCAAACATCATGAGTTGAAAATATCATCCTGAAAAAAATGTTCTATCTTTTTGTGTACCTCTATAGCTGACGAGACCTTGGATGGAGAGCGTAGTATGTTTGAATCTTTTTTAATACATGTGGATATATGTGGATATGATATGTCAAGCTAAAAGACAAATGTTTGCATGGTATCTAAGACTGGCCATGATAATCCTCCACCAGTACCTATTTATAGATGTTCCCAGCTAGAAACCTCCATTGGCGGATGTCCCGGCGAAGCCATGTTTCATTACCGGAATGTGGATCTCCATGATAATCACTACTGGTTGGTGGTTTTCATATATTGGGAATGTCATCATCCCAACTGACGAAGTCATATTTCTCAGAGGGGTGGCTCAACCGCCAACCAGTTAACCATTATCAACCACTATAAACAAGTATTTTCCCCACCATTACACCACTATTAGAGGGGTACCCCTATTATACCAAGCTGTTTGTGAGGATTTGAAGGTCCGGGGTCCAGGCGTGGCGTGGTTTCGCCGAGTTGTAGCGGAGATCAGACTGCATACCCTCTGGTGAACTGTCACATTTTGCTATGGAAAGATCCACCATGCTATGAATGGGAAAATCCACTATTTCGACTGGGCCATTTTCCATTGCTATGTTAGTTCACCAGAGGGTATGTATACTTGTCATTACTTGTCCAGCACTTGGTGGGAGCCCTGCAGTGCGGGCCAGACAGGGTCGCAGCTTGCTGGAGCAAATGGAATCCGGACACCAGCCTTGGCCTAGCAACCGCCATAAAAATTTTCAGTCTGAAATCCCCATGTTCCCCATGAAAGCAGCATGTTCCCCATGGATTTACATTCACTTGTAACTGGAACTGCACTTGTAAGTTAGTTTATAAACCATAGTAACTATAGATATGTCCACCATAAACCCTAGTTATTGGAGGTAATATATAAACCATCTTGGCTAACTACATCCCATTAAATCATCGTTCAATCCCTATAAACTCACCATTTTCCCACTATAAACTCACCATTTTCCCCCACAAAAATCCACAAATGTTCCCATGAAAATCCTCATAAAAATCCCATTTCCCCACCATAAACTCACCATTTTCCCCATGAAAGTTCTCATAAAAATCCCATTTTTGAGTCCCAGGTAGCCCACGTTGAGCTGATGCGCCGCTCGCTACACCTGGCCCTACGACGCTGTTTGGATGTGGCCGTGGGTGTGTTGACGACGCTGGTGGGGGAGCCACGGGGGATGGGGAAAAACGGAAGGGAAAAGATGGAAAATGATGGAAAATATAGTTTAAGATGGTTTTATATGGAGTTATATGGTTTTATATGGTTTTGTATGGTCTGGATTTATATGGTCTGGATTTATATGGTTTAAAAAATGGTGTTATTTCTGGGTCAACCTTGGTTAGATACTAAAGTACTGTTTTTGTTTGCTATCAATGGTAAAATTAGTCCGAACCAGCAAAAAAATTAGAGTTGTTGACAGGTATCTAAAATTCACCATGAAAATGGTGGCTTAATATGGTTTTATATGGTTTAATGGTGATAATCATGGGATAAATTGGGATAATAATGGAATATTCATAGGATACACGAAAAAAATGTTGGAATTGAATTTGATTTTACAACAAAACCGAGGGTTCCGGACTTGGGCATGTTAGTGAGAATTGCTTTTCCACACCAAAATGGAGAAGGGGATTTTTAGAAACTATCAATGGAGTTTACATGTGGGCTCAACATGTTTTGACCATAAGAAATGTGGATGTTTACTGGATCTTAGCGTTTCAAAAATGAAGATTTGACCATCAATTCACTAGGGAGTGAATTATCAAAAGATTGTCCCCATTGATTTAGGATCGTACAATCAAGAATGGTGATTTCATATGGATTTTACTGTTTTTTGATGATTGTTTCTCGAATCATTGATTCTGATATATGCTTATATCGTCCAAACGTTCGCAGAATCAGAACGTCGTCTTAAGCTGGTTGTCTCTGAGTTTTGGTTGCTTGTATCCACAAGTTTTAATCTCCTCCAAATTGGTTTCATTAGATTCCCATTTAAAGAAATGCTGGTATTCCTATGTAGATGATTGTTGCATCCACAAGTGGTTGGCTTAGCAGCTGGCCTGTCACAGCAGAGCTGCACCAGAATTGCAGAGCCATAGGGGCACGCCAACCAAGTGCGAGAGGAGGAGGAGGCCACAAAAGCTATGCTGGTTGGTGGTTTCAAACATGAATTTTATTTGCCATTTCATATATGGGATGTCATCCTTCCCATTGACTAATACAGTATTTTTCAAGATGGTTAGAACCACCAACCAGAAAGCTATGGCAAAGGTGCAAAAACAACATGAATCGTTGAGCGACCCGACTAAGCTCATGCTGGAACCGAGCCGCAGAGGCCAACATGCAGAGATTTGATGTAAATCTGCCCTTCCTGGAAAGCAATTGCCTTTTTTTTGATATGAAATTATATGAACTGGCTGGTGGTTTGGAACTTGTTTCCCATATATTGGGAATAATCATCCCAACTGACTTTCATATTTTTCAGATGGGTTGAAACCACCAACCACTGAATATCTGACGCATTTTGGGGTTACTGAAGACTACCACATGCGAAACTCGCTCCCAGAATTGAATCTGGAGGCTTTGGATCCCAAAAGTAAACCAACAAGCCAAAGAAGCCGTCGCGCCGCTGCGACATCTTCATTTCGTCCCCATTCTCTAAGTATTGGGTATATCCTTCTTTGAAGAATGTAGTTGTTAATATATATATATATGTATAACTACGTGTATACAAATATAATATATATATATATATCCATCATACCCTCTGGTAACCCAACATGCCAATTGAAAATCCACCATTTATAGATGTTTGTTTCCCATGAAAAAACATTTTTCCCTGCCATGTTTGATGAAATCGGATGGTGTTTCTCCAGCCATTTGGCGGCTAAGTGGCTAACCTCCTGATCATATTCTGGTGTAATTGAAACTTGCTGTGCTGAATGCTGGTGTTAGGGACATTTGCGTTGAGACCCACTTATATCCCCAAAAAATTGAGAATGAAATCACGTACCTACAGTCTACCAGCAGGTGTGGTTGTTGGTTGCGCACTCGACGTTCTCAGGTAGTAAACCCAAGTATAGAATAGCCCCATTCTGGATGATTTAAAATGACCTCAAATGGTTGGGTACCGGGATGGTTTATGATTGGGTTTATCATGGTTTACCACATGATTTCCTTATCATTGGATATTGCCAATTCTCTGTAAGTAGTTGTATCACCAAACCACACCCTAGCAATGTTTGGATTGGAGATGGCATGAAACAAGATTCTGGGCAATAAAATGAAGGTTCAAGAAATGACCAAAATCCACAGTTTCCAGGACTAGTCTGTTTTGAACGTCTTTTTTTTCGATACAAACAAACATAGCTATTGAAAATGGCCATTTATAGTTGATTTACCCATTACAAGCATGGTGATTTTCCAGTTCGTTAAAGTGGCGGTGAAAACTGGTTTCTATCACTTTGGGGAGTACGACATGAAGGAATCCATGGCATCACCCATTTCATCCCATTGTTGGTGGTTGCTTTGCGCTAATCATGGCCTCTATTATACGCAGTTCGTGTCGATTTACATCCCCATGTTCGATGGTTAAATCTGTGAAACAGCCAGATTTGCCTTCAGACCATTTCTCATGTTCCGCAACATTTAGGCCTTAAGCTAACTTGGCAGCGTGTGACGAAATAGGTGTGCGTGAGTCGTCCCATTCTTTGGCTGTTCGACCACCGCCATTTCACAGTGGTAGCGGAGCGATTGGATTTTTGGGGAACTTCTTTGACTTCATTTTCTACGCCTCTGGCAGTGCTGGACCCTGAGCAGGTCCCTTGGTGAACATCCTCTACTGCGTCCTGGACTACTCCTGAACTTCATCTACGACCTCTTGGTGGACGTGCTCTACTTCTTGGTGAACATCCTCTACGACCTCTCCATCTTGCGTCCTTTGGACTGGCGCGACATCTACTACGCCCTCTTGGTGCGATCTACATCCTGAACTACGTCTTGGGGCTGATTCCTGAACTTCGTCTACTTCCTGGACATCGACATCATGGGGGAGAATGACAAGACCGACGACTATGGCTTCAATGCATCAATCCCGGTCTGGGATGGCCGAGCTGACTCTCTTCGGGAGTTCAAGAAGACGGTCAAATGGTGGCTCCATAGCGTGAACCTTGAGAAGACGACTGGCTACAACCTGGCTGCAAGGTTTGCGATGAAGCAGACTGGATCAGCAAAGATGAGAGCATTGGAGTTCACGCCGGACGAGCTGGCCTACACCCCTGCCGAGGAGTACACCGACCCTGACTCTGGTGAGACCATCGTGGTGACCCCAGCTGACTATGCAGCTGGCATCAACAAGATCCTGGCAGCATGGGATGAGATGATTGGTCGTACTGTCAACGACCGCAAAGGAGAACTCCGTGAGAAGTTCTACTTGGCTACACGCCGAGGACAGCAGGAGTCAGTGGTTGCCTTTTCTTTGAGGTACCGGACCTTGGTGGGCGAGATGAGAGCTGAAGGCATCACCATAGACGATGCCGAGACAGCCTGGTTCTACAAGCAGAAGTTGGCCCTGAACGAGATGCAGAAGCAGATGTTGGAGACCACTTTGGGGACTTCAACAGAGGTCTACGCTGACTGTGAGCGTGAGGCCGTGCGCTTGTTCAAGCGCATGCACTTTGGTGCAACTGGAGATGGAGGACAACATCATCCTGGACATCGTCGCCCTGGACTGACTTCAAGTGCGTTGTCGAAGTTTAGACGAAGCCTTCCATCGTCTTCGAGCTCAACGGCAAGTTCATGGACAAGGAGATCAACGAGTTCAAAGGGAGCTCACTCAGCTTATGTGGCTGATGCTGAGCCCACCGCTGAGGAGGACGAGAATTGGCAGGAGGACAATCAGACCAACGAGGAGCACGAGACCTACGAGACCGAGCAGACTGAAGAAGGAGATGGACTAGAAGCTCTCCAAGAAGCTGTCGAAGTGATGGCAGCTGAGTTGGAAGAAGCCGCTGAAGCCGGCTGTGATGAGGAGGAGCTTGCAGGTCTGGAAGACCAGATCGAAGGAGCTGTGGAGGCCCTAGTAACCTTGAAGGAGGCCCGATCGCAGATAGCAGCTGTGAAAAAAGACCGTGGTTTCAATGGGCCGTCTAGTGGGGCCAAAGGAGGAAAGAAGGGCAAAAGCAGTGGTTGTTTCGATTGCGGAGCACAGGACCACTGGAAGGGCGACCCAAAATGCCCTGGTCCTTCAAAGTCGAAAGGCAAAGGTGGCCCAATGAAAGGTAAGCCTGGAAAAGGCAAGTTTCAGAATAAGATCAACTCTCTGAAGAGCGCTTTGTCTAGAGCCCGAGACACCAATGTCACGGAGACCAACATGGCGGAAGTCAATGTGGTTGATTTACTTCCACCACATCCTCCGGTGAAGTTCAACTCTGTGTCTTTTGGCAACAATGAGGTGCACGAGATCAACATGGTTTCTGCTGGCAGCATCTCTGAAGCTTTGGCGGCTAGCACGACCAAGCCGCTGGACATCCTTTCTGCCGACAAGTTGTACCAGGCAGCACTGGATTCAGCATGCAACCGTTCATGTGCCGGGAACCAATGGGTCCAAACCATGTTAGAAGCACTCCAGTTTGCCCCAACCGAAATTCAGCAGTTGGTTGAATGTGTAGAAGAACAAGAGCAGTTTCGGTTTGGCAATGGTGGCGTTTTGGTTAGCCGTGAACGAATCAGACTTCCGGTGATCATCCTCAATCAGGTGGTTTTGGTTTGGGTCAGTATCATTCCATGTGGTTCTCTTGGTTGTCTCCTTGGAAAAGATGTTCTTGAAGGTTTGGGTGCAGTTTTAGATTTTCGTGGCAAAGTTCAATGGCAAGTTCTATCATCAAACCCCCAAAGATGGATGAGATTGTCAAAGATGAAAGCGGGTCACTTTTCTTTGGGGCTACTTCCACGTAATCTTGAACGTTGGCCTTCCCTTCAACATCTTCCTTGGGTACCCCTTGGTCACGGTAATGTTTGTGAAGTACAAGGGATTAACAAGTTGAGGGTGAAGATCCAATCGATGCCTCAAGCGGCCAAACATGAAGCTTGCGTCACAACAGTGAACTTTGTGCCGGAGCACTTTGTCGCCTCAAGCCCCGGGACATCTACAGGAGATGCAGCCCGCCTCTCAAGATCCTTCGCCGCAGTGTGGGCAGCGATGGCGTCGAATGGTAGTGAGACTGCTGACACGGCAGATCTGGCACTACCTGGGGCTGAAGCTATGGCTGGTGCAGCGACCGTTTTTGCGGTACGCTCCAACTCCGTTGCCGATGGTGGCAACAGCAGCAGACTGGCTGCAGCAGGCCAAAGACATGGTGAAGAGGCGAGTGTGGCCGAAGTCATGGCTGCAGAAGGCCATGGATCGTGGGCACTTCACGGTGATCGCGCTGAAGGAGGCCATCTCTCTGAGGCAGAAAATGGGTCTTCGGATGAGCTTCATGGAGGACCCCGTGCTGAGCTTTGGCATCAAGAGCCTCAAGAAGAAGCCCAAGGCCGTCCTACAAGGAGCACTGGTCGCCGAGACCCAACGCCTGCTCCAGGCGACAGAGGCCGATCGAGAACTTCGTCTTCGCGCTCTCCTTGGACCCCGAGGAGGTCTGCCCCGGCTGAAGTCCGAGCTCGTGGAGCTGGCAGTGCTGTTCCGGCTGGAGGTGAAGGAGGACGACCGCATCGAGGACCTGAAGTCCAAGATCGAGCCCATGGTGAAGTTGCTGAAGACAGGCCACACGGTCGACTATGGGAAGCTCAACAAGATCCCAGGTCGCCAAGAAGCCGCAGCACCCGCCGCGGCAGAAGCCTCAGCCTCGGCAGCACCGTTCGGGATGGAACGGGATCAGAACGGACAGTGGGTTCTGAAAGGTTTTCCACCCCTGGCTCCAGAGCCTTATCAAGGTCGAGATGGCCAGGATGTGATGTCGATCTCGAGCATGCCATCCACGCCGCGAGGAGCAGAGTCCTCTCCGGTGGTGGTTGGAGACAGCTAGACCTGAACAAGGAGCGGGAGGTCGATATGGCTGGCGCCGACACTCCCCGGAAGCAAGCTGGCTATGTGGATCGCGAGAGCTCTGCCGAGGTGGCCAAGAACATTGGTGGGATTGCTCGCTCTATGTTCTCCAAGTTGAAGTCTGGAGTTGTTCAGATGGTCAACCAGGCCGCCCTGAAGGCAAAGCGTTTGGTGGAAAAGTTCCAAATGAACAACGATGAGATCAAGGAGATTTTGGAGACTGAGTACATGGACTCAATGGCTGAGATTGCAGATGGCAATGTGGAGCCCCTGGCAATGGTGGTCGAGCTCCCTGAGAGTCCTTCCTTAGACGTTCATCGTCGCAACCTCAAGGAGGGCAACAAGAAGAGGCCTCGACCGCGGCATCCAGACTATCCCAGAAGAGAGACGGCTGATCAATGGCGTTTGGGCCATTGGGGAAGTTGGATTTGCCGGGATCACTTCACACCCCGGAATCAATTCATGAAGCCTACAACAGTTTCAGTTCCTCGATTCTTCCCGACAGAGGCCTTCACTGGTCGACGTTTGGTGGAGATCTATGCCCCGGACACCAACAGGGTGGTGGATCGAGTTTGGGATGAAGATTTCAATCATCCTGCTTGTCCTTACTACTCAAGGGTTTGGACTGGCCGCACATGGTTTCAAATCCGACGAGAGTGGATCGACAAGTACTACCCGGAGGTGATTCCTGAGGGGAACTCCTACTTTGAGGAGCTGGACTGGGTGATTGACAATCCAGCTGCTGAAGGCTTGCACGAGCTGGAGAATGGCAATTCAGTTTTTGTGGCAACACAGCCCAAGTCATATCGTTTTCCAATGCCACAGTCTCACGACACCAAGATTTCCACCTACGGCTTCTATGTGCGACACGCACGCTGGGAGGTCTTGGAGAACAAGCGCCCTTGGAGAAGCCGAGGTGTTCATGAGTTTCACCATCAGCATTTTGCTGAAACACCAGATGTCTACGTGGTGGTCTATCACAACAACGAGTTGGACTACTTGGAACCACCACTGGTGACGGAGGTCTACACCACGACCGAGCCCATTGCTCATGAAGCCATTCGTCGAGGACATGCCGTTGGACAGTCCCTGACGTTGGACACTGGCTATGACTTCTATCGGGAGTCCCATCGACGAGAAGCAGATCGTCGACTGCAACATCAGAAGCCCTTTTGCCTGATGCTGGCATTTCCATGTGGTTGGTGGTCGCCCCTGATGGATTTGATCACTCATCAAGACCGACGCAAGCTGCTGAAGGTCAAGAGACGCAGAGCCAAGGAGAAGCACCTGGTGGACTACTGCGTGAAGAAGGCCAAGGAGCAGTTGCGAGAAGGGCGGCACTTCATCATTGAGAACCCCAGCAAAAGCAGGTCTTGGAAGGAAGTTCACTCCCTTCGGAAGCTGACCGAGATGGCAGAAGAGCTTGGGTTGCACTGGGTTCAGATGGATCAGTGCATGACTGGTCTGCGGGGTCCTGGTGGCGGCTTGATACGGAAGAGGACATGGTTTCTCACGTCATCTGAGGAGGTGGCTGAGGAGCTCAAGCTTTTTCAATGTTCTGGAGATCATGAACATGAGTGGTGCATCGGTGGCAAGAAGATCACAGAGCCTGCTGGGCACTACTCTCCAGCACTTTCTGCTGCCATTGTCAATGGACTTGAACGTCAACGCGTGGTGGACTTTGGCATCAAGCGCAACATTGTGGAGCGCCTGCATGAGGCTGAAGTCTTGGCAGCAGAAGCGGCTGAGAATGATGATGAAGATGGTGAGATGTTGGAAGAACCACTTCAACCTGGACAAGGTGATGGTCCTGGACTTCTTGAACCTGAAGATGATGAGGAAGACATCCCCATCGATGACAATGTCAAGGTCACCGCAGAGGAGCTACGAGCAGCCCTACATTTGCACAAGGTGACCGGCCATCGAAATCCCTTGCGCCTGGCAAGAGCGCTTGTGATAAGTGGAGCATCACCGAGCATGGTGAAGGCGGCAAAAATGATCAAGTGTGAGCTTTGTCAAGAGCATGCCAACGTCAAAACGAGGCGTCCTGCAAATCTTCCTCGACCTCGACACTTTGGTGACAGACTCTTTGTGGATCTTTTCGCTGTGCGTGACCTCTATGATCAGACGCACTGGGTGGCTCATGCAGTGGATGCAGCAACAAGGTACCACTGTGCCAAGGTCCTCAACACCAAGTCTAGCGAGGAGGTTGGAAACTTTATGGTCGAACAGTGGTTCACACCACTTGGTGTGCCGTCAGCTGTGACATGCGATATGGGACCGGAGTTTGTGAGCGACCAGTTCCAGCAGCTGATGGACCGACACAACGTCCAGCTGTCGCATGTGGCCGTTGAGGCCCCCTGGCAAAATGGTCTTGCCGAGAGGGCAGGCGGTACCCTGAAGACCATCCTACGCACCTGCATGGCTGAGCACTCAGCCAGCGAACATCAAGATGTTCAGTCCTGTGTGGTGGCAGCCTTGGAAGCCATGAATGGGGATCCTTCAGAAACAGGATTCAGCCCTGCACAGCTGGTGCTTGGGAAGCAGCCTCGTGGTTTTGGACAAGTGATACCCAATGATCTTCAAGCTCGACTTAGTCAGCATGGCCTGATTGAGAATGACCCGAGCTTCACCCAGATCGTTGCGATGAAGGAGACGGCTCGTTTGGCACTGGTCAGATTGACCTACAGCCAAGCTCTTCGTCGAGCTGAGATGGCTCGCAGTCGAGTGGCTCCAAGCTATGAGACTTTTTCTGTGGGAGATGTGGTCTACTTCTACAGAGCTCAGAAGTACTCAAGTACAAAGAGCCAGAGCCGGAAGCGCCTTCAACTGCGCAAGTGGCATGGGCCGGCAGTTCTTTTGGCCCTTGAGGGGAACGAGAACATCCCGGTGAATGCCTATGTTGGGTATCGTGGCAACATGACAAAGGTCGCCATGGAGCATTTGCGCCCAGCTAGCAGCTTGGAGCGCCTGACTTTCACGGACTGGTCTGAGATCATGGATGAGGTGATTGCCAAAACAACACAACGCCCTGATGATCATCCAGATGAACTTCAAGCTGAAGAACCAGAGAAAGGTGAACAAGTGCAAGGTGATCGCCCAGAGGCATCACAACAAGCTGGAGAAGGCGTTCGTCCTCAGGTTTTTGCCTTCCCATTTCCAGCACAAGACTACTTCCACCATCGGTGCCAGCGTCCACAATGGGTACGCCCCTGCCTTCGCGGCGACAGTCCCAGCGGATCGAAACTGATTTGGGTTCCACCGTTGGTCAACATCGCAGTGAGGAAGATGCAGCAGCTGAGAAACCCCAAGCCGACGTGCCTCATCAAGAGGGTGGACAAGTTGCTCAAGTTCCAGATGCTGAAGTGCCGAGTGGATCTGGTCAAGTTTCACGACCATCTGTGCCAGAGGATGTGGCGCAGGAACAGTCAAAAAGGGCACCGGGTTCACCAGTTCCTGATGCAGTTTTGAGAGTTCATAGGGGTAGGTTAGAAGGAGCCCGGAGTTCTGTTAGAAGGGCATTGTCTGAAGGTGCATCACCAGTTGAGCGAGAATCCACTCGCAGAAGGGTTGAAGATCCAGTTCCACCTTTAGAGTTAGGACCAGCTACCCGTGAGGTTTTAGCAGCTGAAGTGGATAACAACACACATCCTTTAGTACGTGCTGTTCAATGGGCTAGAGAAGATGTTAAAAATGCGCACCATTTTGAACATGACCATGGAACCTGGGATGGCAGGTGGTCACTTCCTTCTCGAGCTGTGGTCGAGACCATGGAGACATTGGGCATGCCGTGGCCGAGTGGTGGACATCAGCATGAAGCTTGCACTACTGCAGCGCATGGCAAGGAGCTCAAGTGGTCCGAGATGGAAGAGAAGGTGCGAGATGAGTTTCGTGAAGCAGCAGTTGATCAATGGAGCAAGTGGATGGAGAACAATGCCATCCAAGTTTTGTCACTGGGAGAAAGCCGAGCAGTGATCCAAGAGTTGACACGTCGCAATGAGCTGCAACGGATTCTTCGGCCGAGATTTGTGCTGACGGACAAGAATTCCAGTCTTCGAACTCCTGAGCGCGATTTGCCGCTCAAAGCCAACGCACGATTGGTCGTGCCTGGGTTCAAAGATTTAGCCAATCTTCAAGGTGAACTTCGAAAAGACGCTCCAACTGGCAGTCGCCTTGGACAACATCTACTCTTCAGCATTGGGGCCTTCTTTCCAAACTGGAGACTACTTGGTGCTGATGTTCGTGCCGCTTTCCTGAAAGGAGATCCTTACGTCTCCAGGGAGTTGTACATTCAGTGCACCAATCCGAAGATTGGGCCCACCATACCGCTACCAGCAGGTTGCCTTGGAAGAGTGGTGAAAGGAGTCTTTGGGTTAGCCGACGCGCCCAGAGAGTGGTACCTTCGACTGTCGAAGGAGGCTGAGCGTCAAGGGTGGCAAAAGTCCTCACTGGATGCCGCTCTTTGGTTCAAATGGAGTGAGAAAGATGGAAAGCTGTGTGGCATGCTCATCGCCCATGTTGATGACTTGCTGTGCGTGGGAGATGAGGAGGCAGAGAGCAGTCTGCTAGCTCTTGGTGATGTGCTGGGTTTTGGAAGCATTGAAAGAGATGACTTTCAATGGTGTGGCAAACGCATCCGCAAGTGCAAGGACACCGGTGAGATCAAGATCAGCATGGTTCCCTACCACCAGAGTTTGAAGCCTGTGGTTGTGGGACGTGAGCGTCGCAAAGATCCCTCAGCATTGCTGACGCCTGGCGAGATCAAGAAGCTCAAGGGCATTTTGGGATCGCTGCAATGGTTGGTGGCTCAACTACGTTTTGACATCTCATTTCAGGTATCTAGCCTCCAATCGGAGACACCGACAGTGGGCACTTTGCTACGTGCGAACAAATGCCTGGTGGAGACCAAGAAGGACTATGACTATGAGATGACCTTCAAGAGTGTTGACTTCGCCCGTGGGGGAATTTTGGTTGTGGCAGACGCCGCACTGGGCAACGTGGATAGCAAAGGTGACTCTACTGGACCGCCTGGGACAAAGGTGCACTCACAGAGTTGCTATGCGGTCTTGCTGGCAGATGCAGAGATGATGAGAGGCAAGCTGGGCACATTCAACACTTTGGACTTCAGATCGCACCGCATTCCCAGGGTGTGCAGAAGTTCTTACGCAGCAGAGACTCTTGGAGTTGAAGAAGGTTTAGACGCAGGTGAGCTTGCACGAGGTTTTCTTGCAGAAGCCTTGGGGGCGGATGTGACTCGAAAAGACGCCTGGTTTCAGGTGTGCAGAGTTCCTCTCCTGGGTTGCACCGATGCCAAGGATTGCTTCGACAGATTGACACAAGATACTGGCTTTGGGACCCAGAAGAGCCTGAGCTTTACTTTGGCTTCACTTCGACAGCAACTTCGACGCCCAAACACCTACTTTAGGTGGACAGCAACCATGAACAACTTCGTCGACGCAGGAACAAAGCTGATGGACAACTCGACACTTCGTCGTGTTCTTCGTGAGGGATCCTGGTCGGTGGAGTACAACGCCGAGTTCACAAAGCAAACATCAAAGGCCTTGAAAGAAGTGACGGACGCAGAGAATTTGCCTGGACGTGCTATGGAGCCACGAGATGAAGCTCTTCTACGACATATTCATGCAGTTTCTGAGAGTCCTGGTTGGCACTTTTCTGATGGCGTGGGCATTCATGTAGCCCGTAGTGCCAAAAGTTTGAGATCACCAGCACCTCGTTTTTCTTTGAGAGATTTCCCGTACAGAACATCCCTGGGTGAATATCGCTTCAAAGGAGCACTTCATTGGAGGGTATTAGAGGAAGGACAAGACCTTCGCGATCTTGCCAATCCGCAAGGTCAGCTGGAGGAAAGGAGCAGGTGCTTGGTGAGTTTTTACCACAATGGTCTTCAGGCAACTTAAAATAGGATCTGTGTGAAACAGCCAGATTTGCCTTCAGACCATTTCTCATGTTCCGCAACATTTAGGCCTTAAGCTAACTTGGCAGCGTGTGACGAAATAGGTGTGCGTGTGTCGTCCCATTCTTTGGCTGTTCGACCACCGCCATTTCACAAAATCTATGTTTGTCACCATTTTGCGGGTTAAACTGCCATTTTTCGCCTGTTTTCAATCTTAAGTCATTATTTTTCACCAGGTTTCAAAGTGAACCAGCATTGTTTTGCCCCCTTTCAGTATAATTTCACACATGTTCACAGTTAAAAACCATATTAATCCATATTAATCCATATAACACCATATTAAACCATCTTGAACCACCATGTTTCCATGGTTAAGCCAACCTTTCTCCATCGTTTGTTTCACCGCCATCTCCAGGTGGTCTCTGTCTTCGTAGCACCGGACCGAGCAGTGGATGAGCTGCGCATGCGTCACTGGCGAAGATCTAGAAACCATGGAGGTTCTGTGGAAGGTTGATCTGAATTGGGCAAAAGGTTCAGTTCTGACATCATTGGCATGGACTCCATTGAGTAGTGATTGAAAAGACCTGACTACTTGGACACCTCAAATGTGGAAGGTTAATGGGATGATTATCGGGGGGTTAATGGGATTTTGGATCTGGGTAAATCTGTGGGAGGTTACTCACTAGGTCTTCAAATATGTTTTCGCGTTCTTTAGCTGTGAAGCCGAATATGTGTGTATATACATATATAAATATATATGGGTAAATTATAACGACCGAACCCTGTTCTCCCGAACCCTGGAATCATGGTTAGATTGTGGGGAATCATCCCCAAACAGCCCAACATTTCAGGTTAGTGAAATAGTATAATTTACCCAGATGGGATTATCATGATAGTTTGATGGGATTATCCCTGTTCATGGATGTTAATGATAGTTTGATGGGATTATCATGGGATTATCATGGGATTATCATGGGATTATCATGGGATTATTGATAGAGTGACCCACAATCTAAAATTCTAGCTATAAATCATATATACATACCTGGTTGGTGGTTTCAAACATGGTTTATTTTCCACAATATATGGGATAATCCTTCCCAACTGACTAATATTTTCCAGAGGGATTGAAACCACCAACCAGTATATATATTATTATATTATATTATATTATATTATATTTATTATATTATATTATATTATATTATTATATTATATTATATTATATCATATTATGTTATGTTATATTGTATTATATTATTTTATGCATAAATCCACCATATTATTATGGGATTAATGGGGTTTCAATGGGGGTACCCCAATAGCTGGATGGTCTAAGATGAAAAAAGAAGAGTAAAATGGATGAGATTGAGGATATGGATGGCCATTGATTACTGATATTATTATGGGATTTAATGAGATTTTTATGGGATTATACAATTAATTGTAAAATCTGCTGCGGATTCTCATGGGATTATTTAGAATGAATTCAGTTGCCATTTCAGGTACCTAACCTGGATCTACAGTACCATATAAAGCCATAGACATTGAGGGCATATCCCATTACATAGCCCTTACATAGGTCTAGTACCTCCAATTTAGGTATGATTACTGGTATTTTGATGGGATTATCAGATGTTCTGGGAATAATTAACGAGAATGGCTTAGAACCAGAAAAGTTGGGTGTCATCAACTAATATGGGCACATACGAATTACGAATCTAGTACTACCCTCTGGTTATTTAACACAGCCATGGGAAATGGCCCATTTATAGATGGTTTACCTACGTATTAAAAACGGTGATTTTCCATGGCTTTGTTGAATAACCAGATGGCAAATATGGTTTGGCCATAAATCAGCATATTCGACTCAACTAAATCCTACTTGCACAGAGTCCATCAAAAATTCTGGCAGCCTGGTTCCAACAGCCCACCGTCTTTCCAAAATGGTGGGTACCTCAATAGCTGGAGGGTGTTCTGATGTAAAATCGGAAAATTACATGGATGATAACTAGGGGTACCCCCATGACTTAGGAAACCTCCAGCAGTAAGAAATGCATGCGTTTCACTATCAAAAATGGAATTTGCCCTAGGGATAGTAAGGTTTTGGGTGGAAAGCCGCTGAGATGAGGAAAATGTGTCGCCAATTTTGCAGAGGAGAACCATATCCAAGGGTAGTTTTTCCAATTTTTGTCGTTGAAATCCTGGTGTTTGTTGGATTATGTCACCCTATGGTTTTTCAATGTCCAAGTGTTGGGGTCACCTTATTTGGTCACGAACTGGGTACTGTAAATAAATAGCTGGTTGGTGGTTTGGAACATGTTTTTCCCATAATATATGGGATAATCCTTCCCATTGACTAATATTTTTCAAGATGGTTAAAACCACCAACCAGGAAATATATGACAATCAAAAGCAGCAAGCAGTCCTTCCAAAAATGCTCCCCTGTTTCCGAGAAAAGATCAAGCCAAAAGCCTGCGAGCTTTGAGATTAAGGTTTTAGATATTTAAGATATTTTAAGATTAGTGTCCTCCACTTTAAGGATAATTATTACCTTAAAGATGATCTTGTCCTTCAGCTTCAATATAAAGCTAAACGTCAAGTGTTCAACTCTCAAGCCCACCTAGATTTCCAGGGTTTGCGACCACTACCTTTGCAAAGTTCAAGCTTCAAAATGAGGGTTGGGCCGACCTAAGACATAAGTTAGAAACTTCAAGTGACCTTGAAGGTCTCTGTCAGTCTTTAGGACCTTCAACTTTGAGATGAAAACTCAACTGCGGGCACGACTTTCAGGTGGACACACGGCGACCTGTCAAGCTGGGGTCAAGCTGTTTGGAGCCATCCTGGGCTGCACTGGGAGATCTTGCTCAACGCAGTTTGGGGTGGCTCAGCTGTGGGCAAAGCATGCTAAGACGCCAGAGTTCGGCACCACAGTGAGATTCTGAGGCTTGCACTGACCCACTGCCGATATTAGCTTGACAGATCCCCAGGTCATTTGCTTGGAAGGCTGATGGGCTTCCCAGCAGCTGGCTTTTGGGGCAGCCCGCTGGGAAGTGGAGTGCCAGGAAGGATGAAGGCAGGCCTGGACCATTAAACTACATAGACAGATACTAATATGGATATGCATGTATGTATATATATATATATATGTATATGGTCCAGTCCGCTGGCCACCTACTCCCCCCATGGTATCCACCCTCCATACAGACAAACAGCAAGAGAGACATACAGACATACAAACATAAATCCCTACCTGCATGTATTCATACCTTCGTACATACCTGCCTACCTACATAAATACGAAGACACATATATGCATACCTACCTACATACATTCCTACCTACCTACATACCTGCCTACCTACATACATGCATGCATACATACATACATACATACCACATACCCCCACATATCCCCCCACAGGGGGGGAGGCATGCATACATACATACATACATACATACATACATACATACATACATACATACATGCCTACATGCCTACATGCCTACATACATACATGCCTACATGTAGACATACATACCCACCTAAATCCATTCTTACCAACCTCCCTTCTTACTATACCTACCTTCATACATACATGTATGTATGCATTCATACATATATATATATACCTATCTACATACATACCACATACCCCCCACATACCCCCATGCATATATAGTTACATACACACACATATATATATATATGTATGTATATACACATATGTTCATTCGCCTAGATGCATTTTCTACATATATTCATTAGTATAGAATGGCTCACATATGGATGTGTCTGAAAATGGGGTATACCCGCAATGACCCCTTTCAATAAAAAGAATTGTCATGAACCGCCGGATTTTGTTTCCTCCTTGATTTTCAGACACATCCACATAGATATATATATATATTAATTATGATATGATGTGATATGATATGTAATTATAATGTTTTTAAAAACAATTTCATATAGTATTTTCAGACAAGCCCCTTTGAACAAGAGCTTGATGTGCCTTTTCTAGGATGATTTGCTGAGATCCCGCAGAATTCTAGGTGAAGAAGAGGCTCTGCGCTGTGCTGCCAAGGGCATGAAAGTTACTTGGTACCTTGATGTGGGTGTATCTGAAAAAAATGTGTTTACCCAACTAAAAATGGTGATTTACAATTCATAACAAACAACAATGATCTATAATGGGTATATCATAGGATAATATATATATGTATGTATGTATGTATGTATATATATACACACATGCAACAACATGAGTTGGGGTATGTCACGGCAATGAGAAATCACCCATCACTGGAGGTTTATAGCTGGGATAACCATCGATCAAGAGTGGGAAGATTGTGGTTTAAGCAATGAATAATGGAAATTGATGCGTCTGAAAATTGGGTATACCCACAAAATGGATGTGTTATGGGCATGGTTGATTCTAAAAGATAAACCATTGGATTTTGGTGTTTCCCCCTCAGTTTTCAGACAGGGCATGCAACACACAGAATATTTGATGCAGGTTCCGCAAACTACCAAACGAAAATTCTATACGGCAGTGGGTCACAAGCCGTAATCCCAGTATTTTTAGAGATACCCTCTGGTTATGACTGACATAGCTATTGAAAATACCCCATTTATAGTTGATTTACCCATTAAACATTGTGGTTTTCCATAGCTATGTAAACGTTTACCAGAAGGTAAACAGTGATAAATTCCAACTAAAAATCGAGGTTCACTAGGTATAAGGGTTATGACCAACAGTCCTATGGTAATTTTTTATCCCAGATCTCCAATCAAGAGACATCGGTGTTTTTGGGGTGTCTCCCTATTGGCCCCCTATGGTTGTTTGCCTTTTGGGGTTCAAAAAAAACTGGTTGGTGGTTTGGAGCATGTTTTATTTTTCCATATATTGGGAATAATAACCCCAACTGACTATTTTTTGTCAGAGGAATATGATGCCATCTAGTTATGACTAACATAGCCATGGTATAGATAGCCCTAATCGAAATAGATGGGCCATACCGTTCTTAATAGCATGGTGTTGATTTTCCATGGCGAACTGCAACAGTCATAACCAGATGGTTTTGCCGAACTTTCGGCCACAGTTCGACCCAGTGGAATGTAATGGAGAATCCCAGAGTTTTAGATCATTGTCCCATGAAAATTTCCATTCATAGATGATATTTGTCCCATATTCCCATGAAAACCTCTAGATGTCCCATGTCAATGCCGATTTCGCTGGGATTTCCCATGGCAATGACACAATGTTGTCGAGGCTGCCTGCCAGCTGCTGGCGAGCCATGCATCTCCGACAGACCAGGTGAGGATGCATCCCAGCTGTAAGTGGATAAGTGGGTGATATGATTATCTAAGTTAGTGATCATAGATATCATAGATAATCATATTCTAAACTTAGATAATCATAGATTTTTGCATATTCTAAACACCTATGATGATCTAAGTTAGTGATAAGTGGGTATTATAGCATATTCTAAGTGGATTTTAGGGTGATAAGTGGGTGATAAGTGGCTGTTTCTAAAAAACATTTTAAAAAAAAAACCTATGATTCATGCTTAGTTCCAAAAATTATCTTGATAGTTCTATACCATAATTGGAATATATGATCAAATTTCAAGCGATCGTGGGGGGGTGGAGTTTTCCATTTTTATTGGGATTCAAGTTCAGAAGGCACGATTTTCTGCGGGTCTCGAGCAAAAGCCGTGCTCTCCACAAGGGTCCCATGGATGGCTTGACGTCTTTTCTTCGCGACCCTTGTGTGGCCTATACTTCTCAAAATTCTGTGGTACGCATGGGTCGTCAATTAAACTATTTTTCAGAGAAAACACATTGATTGGCCCCCCCATCTCGCCAAATTTGACAGAACATATTATTGATGGAATCATGATTCATCATTATTCCCTATGACCCCAATTATTACTGTTCAACAGCAACATTCCAATCAGCCAATCATGCGATAGATAAGGATGACTTTGATCCTTTTGATGATTGTTTACTATTCAACAACCGTTATCCCATGATGATGTCCTAATCCCAGCTATGCCAGGAAGCATCCTCCAACACCTCTCAGTGGACTGAGCTACGCAAGGACGGGGTTGACCATAACACCTGGAGGTTAAACAAACCAAGACTGGTTGGTGGTTTGGAACATGAATTTTATTTTTCCATATATTGGGAAAAATCATCCCAACTGACTTTCATATTTTTCAGAGGGGTAGGTATACCACCAACCAGAAGAGATGGAGGTGTCCTAAAATACGGTACCAAAATAGGTACCCCCAGTCATCCATTTATAGACTCATAGATGGATGTTCCATGAAATAACCATCCATCTTGGGGTACCCCCATGACTATCCTATGGAAATGACTATGGAAACCCCGAAGGCTTGGGTGTCATGCCAGAATTTCCCAGGAACAGCCAGCAGTTTTCAGCTGATCTCCATGAAAACTCCAACTGAAAGGCTATGAGCCCCATCTGCAATCCCATCTCAAATCCGAAAAAGCAGTTGATTTGGGCAAAACAAGAGTAGCCAACATATCAAACCAATGTTACTATGAGACTATAACTGATGTACATCTATGTTGTTAGATTCATATACATAGGTTAGACTATAGCTAGTTTATATTGTTCATTCCTCTCTCTGGGTAAATCTTGAATTGGTAGTCCTAAATATCAACAATAGGCTTTAACCCATCAACAAACTGTGGTGCGTAAGTGAAACTTGAGTCACAAGGTGGTGCCCCCCAGCCATGTTTGCTGGTTTGTAAACACCATTATATGAATAGTTGGATACCATGACACAACGGTGATAGGAGTTGTGTTTACCAATTTAGCCATAAGTGGAGCATCACCAAGGAATGGATTGTAGGGATGACGTGGAGCATCACCATCCCCAAACGTACATAGGTCCTACTTAGAAAAGGGGGGTGCCATATTTATTGGGGAAACAAGCACTGAGAATTCTACTGAACGCGTTTTTGGGCTACCGTGACATGCTACGCATCTTCATCCTCATCAGCTATTGAACACCAGGTGGACGTAGCTCCACCAGAAGAGGCTGTGGAAAAACGGATGCCAGTTGCCCACCTGGTGCAGTGTGTCGTGTCGCTTATGCTATGCGCAGTGTGGTGCAGTCCCAGTCAGACAGTTGCCCGATGCTTGTGGGATCGCTTGCCTGTCTTGATTTTCTGAAGGAGCATATCATGGATGGCATTGGGGTTGTGACTAGCAATGACATCAATTTGCATCATACGGAAGGGTTTTTCTTTGCAATGCAAGTCAGGAAAATGACTTTCAGCAAGTCTGAGACTATTTTTTGGATCTATATCAGTCTATGTTGACTTGCAGGAAGGTAATGGGATAACGGCAATAGGAAAAAGATTGGCTAAAGGGAATCTAAATGAGATTGGCTAATAAGAGCAAGAGTGGTTCGTGGAGATAATTTTACATTCACAGTTATGGCCCTTTACCAGTTATAAGTACTAACAAAACCCCATTTATAGAATGTATAATTCCATTTATAACCAGTTATAACTAATAAATGGCCTTAACTGCAGGGATTCTGATAGTGATCATCAATGGGGAATTGTTGCATGTGGATAGAAGGGGGTAACGGGAAAGCCGGGATCTAATGAAACCAACATAAACCATACATCAACAATCGGAATAGTTCACCATATAGCGAATACAATGGGAAAATGGGGTAATATACCATACATGGGATAATATAGAAATTATTGGGACATTGAAAATCAATTGTGGATCATACCCAGCCCTCGGTACCCCGCAAAACGAATACTTAGATCCCATCGATACTAGAACACATTTTTGCTTATTAATTCCTATTTTTTAATGTTGAATTGCAATTGTATAACCGTCATATCATCATTAATTGGTTCCATTCATCCCCGTGTTTGAGTGTAAAACCCATCATACTCCATGATATCCCATCCATTTCCACCCGAAAAGGGTATAGAAATCCACCAGCAAACTAACATAGATCGCGAAAACCCACTATGTGAAGATAGTTTTCTAGGAAACCCCATGACTGACCATAGCTATGTTAGTTTATTATAGGGTAAATCCCATGATATACATATCCACGCTATCCATGTCCATCATTCATGGTTTAGATTTAAATCATCATGCGTCATAAACCCGTTTTTCTTGTGATCCCTTTTTAATCGTGAACTCATCTTCAGTTAGCATAGATCTGGAACATGTTAATCCCATTGTTTTACATTTACTAAATGAAAAATCCCATTGTTGATAGTTAAATCATGTCAAATCTAACCTGCATATTTAGAAGTCCAGATATAAGTGGATATAGAACTATATAACTACATATGACGTACTTATAATTATAGCTCAAACAAAAGGGGCTCATTTCACAATGGCTTATAGCCATGAGAGTCACCTTTAGCCTGCCCCATTTTTCGATTGTCAAACCATATTCTGGTTGGTGGTTTCAAACATGAATTTTATTTTCCATTTCAAAAAGGGATGTCATCCTTCCCATTGACGAACTCCATGATTTTTCAAGATGGTGAAATTGCACCACCAACCAGATCGCTAAATTTTGACCATCATATATTATACATCCAGCAGTTTTACCCATCACTAAAGAAAAACAACCAGCTGTTGCTCTCCGAAAGTTTCGCAGGAGATCACCAGCAGTTACGAATCCCTGAACTTCGCCGGCGACGGCCGTCCTGGTGTGGGCGATGTGTTGCCCGGCGGCGTAAAAGAACGGGCTGTAGAGAGGTCAGCAACAAAGATTGGGTGGTTTTTTTAACCAGAAATGGTGGATGAATGGTGATTTAACTATGGAAAATGGTAGATGAATGGTGATTCTACTCGCAAACATGGTGGTTTTACTAGAAATGGCGATTTAGGAAAAAATGCTGGATTCGAATTGCAAAAAAAACCGGCTTTATCAAATCACCAAGACAAAACCTCTGGGGGGTGCTATGTTACTATTTTACTTTTAGCGAGCCAAGCAATGTGTATTGCATCAGTGGTTGGATCTGAAATTTTTCACCATCCTTGCATCGGCTGCTGGGAACCCCCCCGTTTTTCCATATGGCATTGTCTCCATCCATAGCTCAAAATATGAGTGCCCCCTTTTTTTCCCCTTCTTTTTGAGCTCAAATTGAAGTGAGCGTTTTGGGCTGCACTCCGACATTTTGAGACATTCCCATATTTTTTCTGGGGAAGAAACCTGGTTTCGAAGGATTCTCGCGCGCCAATCCATTGAGACTTGGAGAAGATCGCTGTTTCAGATCCGCCAGAAACTGCCGAGCTCAATCGTTGGGTCTACCCTCTGGTTATGACATTCACAGGGCCATGGTGAAGCCATAATCGAAATAGATGGGCCATACCGTTCTTAATAGCATGGTGGATCTTTCCATGGCGAACTGGCAATGTCATAACCAGCTGGTACACTTGTCACATATCTGAATACTGCATAGCATGGCATCAGACGCTTCCCCCATCTGACTCCAATGTGTGACTGGTGGAAATACCTATGGTCACTACCCTCTTGCAACTCAATATGGCACTGAAACATCAAATTAAAACCAACAGTTTCAGTGGAAACATCGTTTTTGTGAGGCGAGTGACTCGGCTTTTGTGTCCAACAATGGATTGTTTTTGTCACACCCAAAATCGCCCAAAACCAGCTGGTTTTGTATTGACACCTCGGTTGGCAAAATATTGCTTCACCCCTCGGTTGGCCATTTGATGTTGGGAAACTGGTGGATTCTAAACCGTGTGATGTCGTTTTGAAAACAAGACAACTCCGACAAGGGCTAAATAGTATAGTAGAACATATCTATTATCGAACTTCAAAGTAGCTAGAGAACCCAAAACCTATATTTTTATATAGGTCGCAAGTCAAAAACCTTGCTTTTTTGGAAGTAGTGATACAATTTCTAACGCTATGTTTGGCAATGTCCCCATCAGGTACCGTATCCGTATCAGCGGGATCATTGGATCCTGGGAAAACCTGGCAATCTGGCTGGGGAATACTAATATGGCAGAAATGCATAGCTGGTTGGTGGTTTCAAACATTTTTTTTAATGTTCCATATATGGGATGTCATCCGAAACCCATTGACGAACCATTTTTCAAGATAGTTATTGCACCACCAACCAGATAGAAAATTATAGTTGTAGTGATATGTACCTTCAATAGTGATTTAAAAAATGTAAGGAAAGGAATGAAAATAGGCAGTTTGAACAATGATAGTGGGAATCTTCACTTTTGAATATTATTTTATTTCAAAGCGGCAGAGCCAATCCAATAAACCCTCAAAATCACCATCCCCAAGTGGTGTATGAACGCTATCCCACACTGATCTAAATCGGGGTATATTCCCAGAGGACCCCTACATAGACCTTATGGTAGGTACCTCCATTACAAAAAGGTTCCTGAACTGGCCACTGATTCTATCTTTGCTATGCGAACCATGGTGCTGGAATATGCACACCAGCATTTGCCCGACAAACGTCCAAAATCACCCAGTGTTGTAGGTTTTTATATACCAGCACCATGGTTCGCATATGGCTTGGGGAATACTAAAGATTTCAAATTCTCGTAACTTGGGATAGTTCTAACCTCGCATCAGGTTGGAAGACGCACGTTGGGAGAGCGCTTGGGGCGTGGATGGTGGCGTTCTTCTTTTAGGCCTCGATCTTGGGAATATGGGATCATTTAGGGTTGTGAGGATAGAAAGTGATAGCTATAAAACCAACCACCGATAATGCATAATGTGATAGAATTATGTACTTATATTGTGATATTCATTGATATGTATATATATCTACATATCCATATCTAGATATATATATATATACTCTATTTACATTTAGCAATCATGTGGATTCAATGGTGTAAATGGTGGTTTAGTCATCAAAGGCGGTGAAAAATTGGGATTTCATCGTCGACGGAGATTTTTTATCGACGAATAGTGGATGGTTGTCCGAAAATGGGTAGACCCCGTAGACCCCAAAAAATGGCCATGTTAATACAATGTGGGGCCCCCTAGATAGCTAAGTTGGTTTATAACTCCAATAACTATGGTTTATGGTACTTATAACTATAGTTAATGGGGTTTATAAACCAACTTACAACTGGGGGGCCCCACATTGCAAGGCAACCAGGTAATAAGGAATAGTTATCATTGACCAGTGGATTTAGGGGTGCTCGTAGCGTATGTTTGCTCGGACCTTAGGACCCCGGATAGGTTTTGTGCTATTTTGGAGTTGAGCCATTCCATACCAAACTTTAAAAAAGCTATTTGAGCTATCTACCCAGAAAGTCCAATGAATATTCAGAAATTGGTTGAATGTAAAATGTTCACAGAGAATCAATTGGTTTCTATCATTCAGCACATATCCTTGTAGTGTTTTCGTCTCCAAAACAGGTGTAACGGCTGAATTTTTTCCGATCTCACGCCGCGATAGCACGTCGAAGATGCTTGATGGGAAGTGTCCCAAAAATGGCCTGGCCTGGTTGAATTTTTTTATCATAAATTTTATCCAGAATTGTTGAATAAATCTATGGAATAATTTGTATCATTTACCATTCCATAGAAATTAGTATGGAAAAATAGAATAAATGGATGGACATCTATGGATAGTTATCCATGGGAATATAAGAATTCTATAAATCTATGGAACAAATGTCCCATAGAATCTGGATCTATCTTAACCCAGTCTGAGACCCCGCCAGGTGGGCTGCTGTGGTTTCCGAGCTGCGGTCGAAGGGGCCCACCAAAGGCAAAGCATTGCCTGGATGCGCCTGGGAAAAAAAATGGCGAGGTTTTGGCTGGTTTTTTTTGACCACTTGGTGGTTTAGTTGGTTCAAAGAGTGAACTATCCCTAGCTGGTTATATTAAATCCATAGTTGTTGGTTTAAATCATATGTCAGTCCTATTTTTTTTGGTACTTGGTGGCTCATCCCACGAATCGTAAGTGGGTTATAACCCTGGTAAATGGGATAAGTAGCGGCAATGTCCACTGAAAAGACTGGGGTGAACTACCCCACTTACGATCCGTGGGATGAACCACCAAGTACAAGCACCACAGGAATCATGATTTACCCTCTGGTAAACTGTCACATAACTATGGAAAATCACCATTTTCTATTAATGGGATAACTCACTATAAATGGCAATTTTCAATAGCCATGTTAAATTACCAGAGGGTAAACCCCAAGAATGATGCTGCTACTTGGATTTCTTTAAGAAAATCCAGTTCAATGGATACATAACCTATGGTTGCTCATGGCAAGTCATGCATTATGAGTGGAAACTAGTGATGATTAATAGGAATGGAATCAAGCCACTGGTGCACACAATCGTTTTTAGCGGTTGAATAGTCAACTAAAGAATTTTGATGGTACAGAAAGGGTCCATTTCAAAGTGTGTTTAAGTTGGCTTATCTAACTATTTCGATAGATCCACCACAAATCTAATCGTTGGCAACGAAGTTACCTATCCATGGGATGGGCTTTCTGTGGTAAGCCAATAGGCAACGAATGATACCAATCACTGGTATTTACTGGGCCAACCCTCTTTGAGATGACCAGGGCCAACCACCGACAGGTTGATGTCTATCAGTTGATGCCATCAATTGGGATCTAGAAAATCGTGCGATTTTCTGTGGGGATTTCTATAAATGGAGCCCCAAATCATCCATGTTCATGAGATTGTCCATAACCATCCATTTGGAGTAGCCCATTCATAGAAACCCCCTATGGAAATATATAGGCGGGTGGTTTTCATGCCAGATTCACGATGTCGAGCATCCATCAAGATGTCATCCCGATCACTGAGCAACCATAGGTTATGTAACCATTGAACTGGATTTTCTTAAGAAATCCAAGTAACAGCAACATTTTTGTGGTTTACCCTCTGGTTATGACTGACAGTTTGCTATTGAAGCCATGACCCAATCGAAATAGTGGATTTTCCCATTGATAGCATGGTGGATCTTTCCAGTTCGTTATGTAAAATCACAATTTTCAATGAGTAAATCCACTATAAATGGCCATGTTCAATAGCTATGTTAATTTACCAGAGGCTACTTGCTGGTGGAACCCCAAACAGTGTATCGTCAACGAGCTTCGCTCGAAGAGATCCGCTTGGGTACCGGTGAATTTATTGCTTCCCGCAGAGACCCCCAAAAGAACGCAGCGATCAGTTGACTCAGTCAGATTTCCATTTACTTCGATGAAAATCATAATGTCATTCGCAAATTTTGGATGTTACCAAGATGAAAAAAAAAGCTTGATGACCAGTAAAATCAGCAAAAATCCTGAGTCTTTTCTGACATTAAATCACATTTTTATATATTTTTATGATGTTTAAACCCCCCAATTCCTAGGGGACTAAAGCCTAAAAGCCATGGCCATGGAGGAGTTGTTCCTCCACAACGTTGGGCACTAGAGATCCCATCGGTGCATAGCATCTGGTGTTGATCATGAATCACCATTATCCTGCTATAAAGCCAATATTTGATGGGTATATTAGTATATGATACCCCCTGGTAATTTAACATAGCTATTGAAAATTGCCATTTATAGTGAGTTTTCCCATGAAAAATGGTGATGTTCCAGTTCGTTATGTGACACTTTACCAGAGGGTAAATTCATGATATAAATGGAGGTTTCGTTCGCTGGGAAAATCATCTGTTTTTTTTGGGGGCCATGGCTTCCATTTCGCTATGTAACAAATAACCAGAGGGTAGATTGGATGGAATGATAACGCCTCAGGTTTGGGAGTTAAAACCCAAATTTGTCGCGATCCAAAGCCCCATGTTCTAATGGTCATCATCCTGCAAGTGTAATGATGTTCTCCATGAACATGTGGTGTTTTAGAACACGGGTATGACATGTTCCTTTTAATGTCAACCCCGGATAAATACACCATGGTTTAGCAATTAGGGGGTATTCCCCCAATAGTCATTTCATCTCATACTTAAATGGTATCCTTCCAATTAAACAACCGTTTGGGGTTTATAAATCCAGGGTTGACATTAAGCATGAATCGTTTCCATTGTTGATATCCGATAGTACCTCGACAGGTCCATCAAAATTAGATCCAACTTGTCGTCTCGCTGATGACCCATCGTCAGCTAGGCTCAACTCCAATAGAGCTGATGCTAGTCCATGGTACCCTCCGGTAATTTAACTTAGCTATTGAAAATGACCCAGTCGAAATAGTGGATTTACCCATTGATAGCATGGTGATTTTCCATAGTTATGTTAGTTTACCAGGCCGGGTAGTCCAAAAAACCAAAGAGATATGGCTAGATCTGACAAATCCATTGAACTCCTGGCCATTCATAAAATAGTTGATTTACGCTATAAAAATGGTGGATCTTTCCATCGTTTTCCCATAAAAAAATTGTGATTTTCCATCGTTTTCCCATAAAAAAATTGTGATTTCCCATGGTTTTCCCATTAAAAATGGTGGATCTGTCCATCGTTTTTTGTAGCTTTACCACAGAGAAATGGCAAAATCCATCGAAAAAACCCACCGGTCCCAAGGCCGTCGTGACCGTGAGCCGCTTGCTGCGGAGCGTGCAGACGCTCATGGGCATTTGCCAATCGGATTTCGGCGAGGCGAAACGAGGGTCCAAAAAAAAAGATCCAGCTGGGGTGAAATCTTAGGATTACCAGTCCCAATTTGTTGGTTGATGGGTTGATGATGGGTTAATGATGGGTTGATGATGGGTTGATGATGGGTTGATGATGGATTGATGATGGATTGATGATGGGTTGATGATGGTTGATGATTGTTGATGATGGGTTAATGATGGGTTGATGATGGGTTGATGATGGGTTGATGATGGATTGATGATGGATTGATGATGGGTTGATGATGGTTGATGATGGTTGATGATGGGTTAATGATGGATTGATGATGGGTTGATGATGGGTTGATGATGGATTGATGATGGGTTGATGATGGTTGATGATGGATTGATGATGGTTGATGATGGATTGATGATGGGTTGATGATGGTTGATGATGGATTGATGATGGGTTGATGATGGGTTGATGATGGTTGAGGATGGATTGATGATGGGTTGATGATGGTTGATGATGGATTGATGATGGGTTGATGATGGTTGATGATGGATTGATGATGGGTTGATGATGGTTGATGATGGATTGATGATGGGTTGATGATGGTTGATGATGGTTGATGATGGGTTGATGATGGTTGATGATGGATTGATGATGGGTTGATGGTGGTTGATGATGGATTGATGATGGGTTGATGATGGTTGATGATGGATTGATGCTGGGTTGATGATGGTGGATGATGGATTGATGATGGGTTGATGATGGTTGATGATGGATTGATGATGGGTTGATGATGGTTGATGATGGATTGATGATGGGTTGATGATGGTTGATGATGGATTGATGATGGGTTGACGATGGTTGATGATGGTTGATGATGGGTTGATGATGGGATGATGGGTCGATGGTGGGATTACCCTGGGGTAAACTGACATGGAAGGCCTGGAAATGTGTGATATAGTAACCCCAAAAATTGTGATTTAATGGGATTGTAATGGGATTATAAGGTATACTAACGTAGATGTGGAAAACTGATTAGACATTGAAATGGGGTTACTGGTCTACCCTTCGTAGCAGTTGGGGATTATCGTTGTTCAAGATGTCCAACAGCCAGTTTTAGTGGATCCCTGTGGATGGGTCCCAAAAGTGCGAACACAACATAACCCGACGGATTTGAAATCCCGAAATCCCAGAGACATGGCTTGATACACGCAAGCCATGTCAGGATCTTTTTTCCATAGTAATTTATTGATTGTATCCATGGTATTCATTGTCAACTACATCCTGGAAAACGCACAACCCCAACAAGGGGGACTGAAAGATGGCCGAAGTCAACAAAACCATCTTGGGGTCCAAACAAGGGAGTATAATGATGATGCCGAATACTCCATTAAATTTTTACATATCGAAATATTGTATTAAAAAAAAAAAAACATTATATCCAGAATCTGTGGTGTGCGTAAGCCAGCGTAAGCTCCGCGTAAGACAAGAGATGTTGTACGTAAGCAAAACCTGTGCGTGCGCGCGTAAGCAAAATGTAAGCAATGGCGAAAGCATTTCCTTATTTGGTGCCAGGATGTAAGACACTTTGAACATGGCTCAGATGGAGCATAGTGTTGTACATAGTTGTTATTTACTAATTACGTAGCCTTAAATCAACTACCAAAATTGTATTATTAGATATTCACTATTTCATACACTTGATTGGTTTGTTTTTTGTATATATATATATACATATATATATATTTATATACATATATATATACATATATATATATATGTACATCTATTCATTAACAACCGTTCATAGCAACTAACAAGCATTGATAAGCATTAATAACCATTAAATTGACCACCATTAATCACCATTAGCAACCGTTTAGCAATCAAAGAAACATAACAGCGATTCACAACCATTCATATCCACTAATAACCAATCATCACCAAATATATTATCCCCCTTGAAAATCCCATGATCATTAAATCCCATTAAAAACCTCATCAAATATCATCAAATATGGGTTTCCCATGGATTTTCCATTAGAATCCCATGAACGCCCCATATTTCACCCTTCCTTCACCCCTCGTTTCCCCCCGTTCGAACGCGTGAGGACGCCCAGCGTCCCCTGCGCCACGACCCACGCGTTTGGGCCACGCTGGGCCCCGACGGTGAGCACTTCACCGCGCTCCTGGACGGGGGAAGCAACATCAACGAGTAAAACATGGGGCATTCATGCGATTTTCATGGAAAATGATGGAAAATCCATGGAAAATCCATATGTGAATGGTATTTAATGATGTTTTAATGGGATTTCTTATACTGGTAAAACAGGAAAACTGTATTAGAATATGGAGGTTTCATGGGATTATCATGGAAAAATCCACATTTGGTGATTTAATGGGATTATATTGGAAAATTCATGGAGCTTTCAGACAAATCATGAAATCCCATTCACTGGCCGAGGTTATCCAGAATTTTACCATAAAATGCTGATTTATCTATGGTATTTAATGATGTTTTAATGGGATTCAATGGTCCTATATGGAGGTGTGCTAAGTCATGGGGGCACCCCTAGTTATCATCCATTTGTTTTGACAGATGTTCCATGAAATAAACCATCCAGCTATTGGGGTACCCCGATTTCAGGAAACCCCCCCAAAAAAGTAGATAAAAGTGACTGTTGCCACTGTTTATGATATGTTTAGATTGACCTTATCCGCTAAACTACTGGTATCAGGCATTTTTGTTGTTGCTTTTTTGTGGAATCCATGTTGCTATCAGGCATAGGGTTCAGTAGATGCAATCCATTTTGCTACTTGGAGGTTTGCTGAAGCTTGAAAATGGTGGCAAGACTTAGTGGTCCAACTGCCATTCTTGGTCATAATCCGCATGTACCTTGCTTTGACTATACCTCCCTGGCTGGGGGGGTTAAATCTTTATTGTGTTTCAACCATTGAGATGATTGGTTGAGATGATTCATATTTTTCGGCATAGGTTAAAACTACCAGTAGTACCCGCACGAGGCGGGGCGGAAGTTGCCTTAAAGATATATATAAGACCTTTCTCATCTATAGAACTTGCCTGCGCCGTGCGCCAGCCAAGCCGGTGCGTGCATGCACTCTGCGAAACTGATGTCTTGTTGCACATGTCACATTTGAAGCTCCACTTCGCACTTCACACTTCTCACTGCACTCTTCACACTCCACACTTCACGCTTCACACTCCACACTTCACACTTCGCACTGCACTCTTCGCACTCCACACTTCACTTCACACTGCACTCTTAAGACTCCACACTTCACACTCCACGCATCACACTTCACAGTCCACACTTCTCACTGCTTTCTCAACACTCCACACTTCACACTGCACTCTTCACGCCCCACACTTCACACTGCACTCTTCACACTCCACACTTCATCTCATCTGAGCTCTTCTCACCTTATCCCAGCTCAGCTCTTCTCATCTCATCTCTTCTGATATGTCATCTAAGCTTTCATGAATCACTTCCCAGTACTACTACTAAGGAACTTGCATGCGCCGTGCGCCGGCCAGGCCCGTGCGTGCGTGCTTTGTGCGCAGCTGTTGCAGTGTTGCTGTCCAAGAACATGACCTTGTATGCGTCCCCGGTGCAATGCAACGTGAAGCAAGCACTTTCCTCACACATCACATTGCACCCTTTACACTTCACATCTGAGCTCTTTTCATCTGGTTTCATGTCCTCCCATATGTCAGCTACGTTCTTCTTGGCTATTTTCATGTCATCTGAGCGCAGCTCAAACTTTCTCATCATTGGACCTACTTTCAACTTATCTCGGCGCTTCTGCACGTCAGCAAGGTTGAGCGTAACTCACGTTGATTCTTCTACATGCCAAAAGGCGTAGACCATAGAATATTTACAATATTGAGGTCATTAATGCCAAGCGTTGATGCATTGCATCAAATCGCAACGGCAAGTGTAAACATGGCGTATTTGTTTCCTGTCAAGGAGATTCACGCAGTCCAAGCTCGACAGCTGCTATTTTCTCTGCGCTACACTTGGTCGTCTAGGCTTTTGGCAGCTTTTCGGCCCGCACTGGCACGAAAGGCTGGCGAGCTTATCACGTTGGAAGCCTGGTTGGAAAAACACAAGGTTTCGTGCTCCGGCTTCCTCCCCAAAACATAACCCATGCAACATTCATGCAGCCATTCCAATGCGATCTGCAACCACAGCTTCAAGAACCGCATAGAACTACGCACACAGGAACAACCACTCGTTGCAAAACACATAGGAGGAACAATTCGCGCATGAAACGACCCCAGCCGCACCCGCCGCACAGACGAGGTACCTTTCATCGCCGGCTGCAGCCACTTTACACGGAAAAACACAAGGTTTCGTGCTCCGGCTTCCTCCCCAAAACAGAACCCATGCAACATTCATGCAGCCATTCCAATGCGATCTGCAACCAGAGATTCAAGAACCGCATAGAACTACGCACACAGGAACAACCACTCGTTGGAAAACACATAGGAGGAACAATTCGCGCATGAAACGACCCCAGCCGCACCCGCCGCACAGACGAGGTACCTTTCATCGCCGGCTGCAGCCACTTTACACGGAAAAACACAAGGTTTCGTGCTCCGGCTTCCTCCCCAAAACATACCCATGCAACATTCATGCAGCCATTCCAATGCGATCTGCAACCAGAGCTTCAAGAACCGCATAGAACTACGCACACAGGAACAACCACTCGTTGCAAAACACATAGGAGGAACAATTCGCGCATGGAACGACCCCAGCCGCACCCGCCGCACAGACGAGGTACCTTTCTTCGCCGGCTGCAGCCACTTTACACGGAAAAACACAAGGTTTCGTGCTCCGGCTTCCTCCCCAAAACATACCCATGCAACATTCATGCAGCCATTCCAATGCGATCATGCAACCAGAGATTCAAGAACCGCATAGAACTACGCACACAGGAACAACCACTCGTTGCAAAACACATAGGAGGAACAATTCGCGCATGAAACGACCCCAGCCGCACCCGCCGCACAGACGAGGTACCTTTCTTCGGTGGCTGCAGCCACTTTACACGGAAAAACACAAGGTTTCGTGCTCCGGCTTCCTCCCCAAAACAGAACCCATGCAACATTCATGCAGCCATTCCAATGCGATCTGCAACCACAGCTTCAAGAACCGCATAGAACTACGCACACAGGAACAACCACTCGTTGGAAAACACATAGGAGGAACAATTCGCGCATGAAACGACCCCAGCCGCACCCGCCGCACAGACGAGGTACCTTTCATCGCCGGCTGCAGCCACTTTACACGGAAAAACACAAGGTTTCGTGCTCCGGCTTCCTCCCCAAAACATAGCCCATGCAACATTCATGCAGCCATTCCAATGCGATCTGCAACCACAGCTTCAGGAAACGCATAGAACTACGCACACAGGAACAACCATTGTTGCAAAACACATAGGAGGAACAATTCGCGCCCGGAACGACCGCAGCCGCACCCGCCGCACAGACGAGGTACCTTTCTTCGGTGGCTGCAGCCACTTTACACGGAAAAACACAAGGTTTCGTGCTCGGCTTCCTCCCCAAAACAGAGCCCTTGCAACATCATGCAGCCATTACAATGCGATCTGCAAGCACAGATTCCAAAACACCCTATAACTACGCACACACAAGCACACCCAAAGCAGCTTGAAGCCACCGTGACAATGCGGCAAAAAAAAAAGGCCATCATCACTTCCCTTCGTCACCACTTCCCTTCTTGACCACTTGCCTTCGTCACCACTTCCCTTCTTCACCACTTCCCTTCCTCACCACGTCCCTTCTCCACCACTTCCCTTCCTCACCACTTCCCTTCGTCACCACTCCCCTTCTTCACCACTTCCCTTCTTCACCACTTCCCTTCGTCACCACTTCCCTTCTCCACCACTTCCCTTCCTCACCACTTCCCTTCGTCACCACTTCCCTTCATCATCACTTCCCTTCTTCACCACTTCCCTTCTTCACCACTTCCCTTCGTCACCACTTCCCTTCTTCACCACTTCCCTTCTTCACCACTTCCCTTCGTCACCACTTCACTTCTTCACCACTTCCCTTCTTCACCACTTCCCTTCGTCACCACTCCCCTTCATCATCACTTCCCTTCGTCACCACTCCCCTTCATCATCACTTCCCCTTATTCTTTTGTTATGTACTGTTATGTGATCTACCACCCTTCATCAAGGTCAACTGCATTGCTTCTTATTCTTTTGTTATGTATTGTTACATTGTGTATTGTTATGTGATCTACCACCCTTCATCAAGGTCAACTGCATAGCTTCTTATTCTTTTGTTATGTATTGTTAGATGACATACCACCCTTCATCATTTCAAGTCTCAGAATTCTATTTGTCCGTAACTCGGAAGTATTGCTTCCCAACTTCCTTTGATCAACCAGTTCCTTGCTTATGATATGTAAACTTGCCAGGAACTCTCATGTGTTGGTGTTTCTCTTCCGCAGTTTTCTCTGTGTTCATCTTCATTTTTCTGAATAAACCTTGGTTCTTGTCCAGCTCAACAGCTTTATTTCCGCCCTTTAGAAATTCATTCGGTTGCGAGACCCAGTCTAAGATTAGTCATGGACAATACCATTCCTGGTGTATACATGTAGTATCTACATACATATATATATACATCTGGTTGGTGCTCTCAAACATTTTCCCATAAAATATGGGATAATACTTCCCATTGACTAATATTTTTCAGAGGGGTTAAAACCACCAACCAGACATGGCTAAGAGGATCGCCAGCATGCCACAGCCATCAATCGGTCCCGAAATCCAGCATGTTTGGCGGCGAGTCAAGGATTAGCGAGTTGGAATCCTACTGTTTGTTATGCAAGTGTCTAAATTACGTATGAATATATACAGAGAGAGAGGGACATATATGATGTACGATATATTTACATTTGTATACATGGATATGTATACATATATCTATATAATCATATATATATATAGACAACATACCTGAAACAACTATTGCAACCAATTATTACAATAGATGTTTTATACCATAATATATTACAACCAATTGTACCATATATTACAATAGATATAATATGTTTACAACCATCGCAGGAGACCACCCTCCTCAGCGCCGTCCACACCTTGACGGGACAGCCGGCGGCCACGGCATCGGTACCGGCCACGGTGGAGGAGTTGACGGAGCGCCTAGAGGAGTGCTGCACGGTAGCTAAGTTGGTTTCTAAAGTCCAGAAATGTCATGGTGATACAGTATACATGTATTTATATTTTTTTGGCTCTCGCCCACAGAAGCTCTCTCGCTGCGGCTCAGCAATACGCTGCTTCTGCCTGCACCACCTCAAGATCAATGGTGTCCTGCCCGGCTTGCAGGAGGAGCCGCACAACGAAGTGCTCAAACGTTGGTTTAGTCAGAGAAGTCTGCACATCAACGCACTCGCCCATGGCGCTCCCAGCGGCTTTGAATGGTCCAGGCTCAAGCTGGCTCAGTGCAAACTCTTTGATGAGATCGTCGACCCTGCAGCCCTTCTTGACGACAAATCCATTGGACTCCCTGGTTATGAGATGCTCAGCAAGTGAAGATGCCCGATCCCACACATAGTAGGCGGTTGCTGATAGAGACGTGGTGCAGCGCACAGTCAGTATTCAGGGACTTCCTCATGGAAGTCAACAAGAAGAAGGTGACCTGGGGGCAGCTCTTCTTCGCAATGGTGGCAAAGGAGAAGACCACTAACAGGGTGGGGAGGCTTTTCACCTACTCAACAATGCGGGTGAGATCATTCTACTCAACCCTGGAGAGGAACATGAAGGACTCAATCTTCCCTGATGTCTCTCAGCAAACAATGACGCTGGCTGAGGTACAGCTCCACAAGAGACTGATGGAACACAATGTGCAGTCAAGACATGCCAAGCGCAGGACATGGAAGGTCTTGCTGTCACTAGCCTTTCTTTGTTCATTTATTTATTTATTTATTTATTTTTATTTATTTATTTATTTTATTTATTTATTTATTTATTTTCTTTATGTATTTCATTTGTTTATTTATTTAATTATTTGTTCATTTATTTATTTATTCATTTATTTGCATTTGTGTGCATGTATATGCATTTAGATAGATAGATATATATATATACTGTTTATGTAGTTTTATATTTATGATATATAATGTAGATTATACATCATAGAATAACTACTATATGTAATATATGATATGTAATATATAATATATGTAATAGATATATCATGCAGTATGTTTATGTTTTCACCCTACAGCCTAGTTATTGGTGTTATAAACCGACTTGGCTGGCTATAGGGCACCATTTTGTAATCTTTGAGTGTATTAAGGGCTTATTAACCCTCAACAACCCCTAATGTCTTAGTTTAAAGCTGATCCACAATTGTGGGCTAGTATCACTTCTCCGTTGATTTCGCATTGGTTGCCATCTCATCGTAGGGTGGGTTTGAAATCCATTGCTCCCAATTAATTGGGTGCCTGTTTCAAGACTATGTTCTCCGGGTCAAATTCTTAAGCAGCTGGAACTATTTTCGTAGTTTGTTGTGTATGCATTTCTTGCAAAACAGCTCCGATGGTGTTTTAAATTTGGAAACCAGATTAGGTTTGAAGCAGACATACAAAATGCTGTAATGTGTATACTTGTTTGCGCTGTCAGTGGCAAAAGAACATAAATACCACATGTTCATTGCAATGTACGCTGTTTGTTGCATTTCACTTGTTTCAACATGTTTCAAACTGTGTACAAGGTGGTGCCCCCAAGATAGCTAAGTTGGTTTATAACTCCAATAACTATGGTTTATAGGTGATATATCTATAGTTAATGGGCTTATAAACCAACTTATAACTGGGGGGCACCACCTTGTAATAGTCTATGTTTTTTTCATTCAAAACGAAGAGATGTTCCAAAACGGTCACATCATTCCCGTGATTTACCGTCTTTCGGCGGAGCCCAGTGCCCCGGGGCTCCACAAAGCCAGGGCCCTGCGGGTTATCCCAATTGTAGCCATTTGTTTTGGATTTCGTACACCATTTGGTTGGTTAAATCACCAATTGTAGCCATTTCATGCCATTTCTAAGGTTGATTCAAATTATATCCACATTATGTCCCTATGATTGTTGGTTTGATACCTGATGAAAAACCCAGAAGTGGCGAGTTCAGGTACCTAAACTGGAGGTACTGTACATGTAAGGCCAATTTGGAGGTTTCTCCCCTTACATCGCCCTTATATAGACTTTATATATGTTTGTTGGCGGTTTCATGTGGCATCCTAGGTTATATCCCATTCAAACCCAGGTATTTGAGCGGCATGAAATCTCCCACTTATATCCTAATTCTAATCCCATGGATATTCCCTTGATTGTTGGTTTGATCCCTGATTCCAACATGGTTTTACCATGTTTTTCCAACATTTTCCCCAGGGTTTTTGCCTTTTTTCGACTCCACCAGGAGCGCATGAACCAGCTCTTTGAGGCCGCGGCCAACAGTCGCCTGAGGGCTGGAGGCTTGGTGGGCCAATCCCCTCAGCTGGGCGGTATGAAGGCTGCCGCCGCGCTGCTCGGTGGACCGGGGACCGTGGTGGGTAAAGCCAAAATGGTGGTTGAAGCAGAAATGGAATCCATGGATTTCATGGTACCTCTTATTTCTTCCTGATGAAAATGTACCATTCAAAAAAAACATGTTTTGAACTGGATGAATTGATGGAAACATTGAAGCAACAGACTTGGGGATTCAAGCTATCCAGATGTGGATGAAGTTAGCGAAGCTGGCAAACATACCTCCAATTACTGTCAACCCGCAAGGGAGTTTGCAGCAAACATAGGTCATGGTTTGTCTCTGGAAACAATCGCATTGATGGAGGTTTCTCACCGCCTCATTTTGGATAGCACGATCCGGTCCATCTTTTGTTGGTGGTGAAGATTGAGGTACCCATCAATTGCTTCAAATCAGTTTTGGGGTTTACATACTGTGGATGGGCCAGCGAAATCCAATAAACCACCAATTTTGGATGGTTTTTCCCCAACAAAATCATGGGATGTTTACCATCTATCAAAATCCTGCACCACCTAAAGGATGGTCGAAACCCTATAAATAATGGGATGTTTACCATCTATCAACTGGTGATTCGCTGGCCCATCCACCGAAAAAAATCCAGAAAACTCATCGTGCCTTGGCGGGGCATGTTTCTCCCGGAATGATGGACCAGTTGGCGAAGCGAAAATGGGCCAAGATCAACATTCGAAAACTATCCGTACGAAAATCATGATTTACCCGGCCTGGTAAACCTACAAAAAACTATGGAAAGATCCGCCATGCTATCAATGGGTAAATCCACTATGACTATGGCCATTTTCAATAGCAAACTGTTAAATTACCAGAGGGTAAACTCACTGTCTTAGAGATCCTTCGATGGTCTTGCGCTACTTTGAAATAGTTGCTATTTGCGCCCGAGAGGATGCCAGACAAAGAAGAGCATTACAACCATCAAATTTCTCCATCATATTAAAAAGGTTGTAATACTCTAAATTAATTGAAATCATATTAATATCCATCAAAACTGGTATCCAGAAAAAGAAGGGTCCATGAACCAAACAAGTCTTGGGAAACTGGCACCAAAATCTAGCAGGATGATCCGCCAGTGATGTTTCAAGTAATGGATTCCCCGATGTTGCGGTCTGCACAGTGTCATCCATCCATCACTTTGTTGGTGAGTTATTAGTTCGGGGCTGCAAATAGAAGCCTGGTTGGTGCTTTGGAACATGTTTTTCCCATATATTGGGAAGTTCATCATCCCCAACTGACGAAGTCATATAGAGGGGTGGCTCAACCACCAACCAGAACCTAATACAGGAGGATGACGATATCCCGGAGTTAGCAGGATGCCGTGAAATCAGGGAAATCGGGGTAGAACTCTGAGGCTGCAACCCTTAAAGTCAAAGGTAAAACTCCCATTTGTTTAAAAAAATACCCTCTGGTTATTTAACATAGCCATGGTATAGATGGCCCATAGAAATAGATGGTTTACCTATTAATAGCATGGTGGATCTTTCCATGGCGAACTGTTAAATAACCAGAGGGTAACATTAAAATCCTACCCTCCCCATCCAGATCCCCTCAACCAACATGTTAAAATTCAGAGGTTGAAACTGCTGGAACTCTGCGTTCAAAACTTCATCCAGATTTGTCGGCAACTGGATGCTCGGCTGATACAGGAGACCTTCCGGAAATCTGGCGAACCATGTGAGCCATTGAAAATCTGCCTGTTGGTAATTTCAATGGCTGCGAATGGGATAAATATACTAATCATATCCGTTATTGTGCATGATTTTTCGAAATATTGAGGATTGAGAATGACCATTGGTAATTATTTCGGGGATACTCCCTGGTTTATTGGGAGCTATCAACATTGTCAAGCAGTATTTCATAGGATGGGATGCAGTAGGGGTATGTTTCGCTCATGGCTATGGAGATCTTCCTGGAGATTAAGGGAGATTGTAATAGGATCTTGAATAAATCTTTGGGGAAGGTCATTTAAAATGCCTTAATATGTGTGGCATGCGATAATATCTTTGGGGATTTAAGGCATATCTCGAACATGTTCAGATCATTTTCCAAAGCTATGTGGAATAAATTGTTTTGCAGTTCTTGGAGAGTTTTCAGGCATATGGGTGTGTCTGAAAATGTCGTGTACCCCATTTTCCCAATGGTTTTGCTGATCATTATCCCTATTAAATGGCTATTTGTTTGGGAATATACCCTATTTTCAGACAAACCCATATGTTCCAAGTGGTTCCAGACAGACCATGGTGGTACAAGTAACTCCCATAACTGTTGGATTTATGGTAGATATTAATCTACAAATGGGCCTGATGGTTCCCAACAATCACAGTTACGGCAGCACCTTACAACAAGGGGCTTTTCCCTCTGGTTATGACCAACAGTTTGCTATTGAAAATGGCCATTTATAGTGGATTTACCTGTTAAAAATGGTGATTTTCCAGTTCGTTATGTTAGTTTACCAGGGTATATATATATACATATCCCCATTGTATCCCCAAAATATCCCAATGATATCCCATTTATGGTTGGTTATATCCCCATTTGTCCAGATCATTTTTATGCAGGTCACACAGTCACACAACCCCATTACTAGCCAGCGCAGCGCTGATGTTCCAACAAGTTGCCTAGACCCATGCGGCCCCTGCAGCCAGTTGATTCAAAACCCACGGTTTTCTATTATGAAAGCATCAATTGTGATGGGATTTAATGGGATTCAAGAGGGAGGCAACCAACAAACGTGGTGATAAATCTTGAACGACCCCACTGGTCGAACCTCAAAAGGATTGTAACACCTGCCATGAATGCCGCCTATCATGAATGGTTCTAAGAAACCTCACTTGGGATGTTAGATTTGGTTTGATGATGTTGAAGACTAGGGCTTATAGTCACTGCTTGGGATATGGAGTAATGGTCTGGAAGGCCCTCAACCAGTAGGTGATCCCACGGATGGTGTTTGTTGAAACGCGTGCCATCCCCATGTTTGAAACGCCTGGAAATCCACATGGAAAATCCCAATCTTTGGAAAAAAAGCCTGGAAATCTCCATGGAAATATCGAAATCCCATCATTTCTTGCTGTGTTTCCTCTGCCAAGGACGGTGGCAATAGTGAGGATGCCACCATGTCAGGATATGAGTCCAGGACCAGAAGGGTTGATTCCACCGCGATAGGTAAGTTGGTGTGTAACTAGGTTAAGTGGGGTAGATTGCTAGATAGGGAGATAGATAGATTAGATTAGATTAGATTAGATTAGATAGATAGATAGAGATAGAGAGAGAAATAGAGAGATATTGATATATAGATAGATATAGATAGATATAGATAGATAGATATAGATAGATATAGATAGATATAGATAGATATAGATAGATATAGATAGATATAGATAGATATAGATAGATATAGATAGATAAGATAGATAGATAGATAGATAGATGGATAGATAGATAGATAGAGAGAGGGATAGAGAGATAGATAGAGATAGATAGAGATAGATAGAGATAGATAGAGATAGATAGAGATAGATAGAGATAGATAGAGATAGATAGAGATAGATAGAGATAGATAGAGATAGATCGAGATAGATAGAGATAGATAGAGATAGATAGAGATAGATAGAGATAGATAGAGATAGATAGAGATAGATAGAGAAAGATAGAGATAGATAGAGATAGATAGAGATAGATAGAGATAGATAGAGATAGATAGAGATAGATAGAGATAGATAGAGATAGATAGAGATAGATAGAGATAGATAGAGATAGATAGAGATAGATAGAGATAGATAGAGATAGATATAGATAGATATAGATAGATATAGATAGATATAGATAGATATAGATAGATATAGATAGATATAGATAGATATAGATAGATATAGATAGATATAGATAGATATAGATAGATATAGATAGATATAGATTGATATAGATAGATATAGATAGATATAGATAGATATAGATAGATATAGATAGATATAGATAGATATAGATAGATATAGATAGATATAGATAGATAGATAATTAGATAGATAATTAGATAGATAATTAGATAGATAGATAGATAGGTAGGTAGGTAGGTAGGTAGATAGATAGTTAGATAGATTTAGAGATAGAGATAGAGATAGAGATGGAGAGAGAGATGGAGATGGAGATGGAGACGGAGATGGAGATGGAGATGGAGATAGAGATGGAGATAGAGATAGATAGATAGATAGATAGATATACAGTTAATTTGGTTTGTAAGCCAACTTATAAATGTAGATCTATAGTTAATGTGGTTTGTAAACCAACAGACAGAACTGGGGGTCCCACCTTCGAATTAGATTAAGTGTGAGAAATAATGGATAGATCTACTGGATGGGTGAACGTAAACTGACTTATATCTCAAGGAACCCTTACTGACCCACGATATCCCATTTTGGTTTGTCTCAAATAATGTCGCCCTGACCCATGCAAACGGCTATTTTGTAGTTCCCCTATTTTGACACAAACCCATGCAGTTTTCTGGTGTACTGTACCACTGGGGCATACAGATCTATCTACAGCTGGCTTTGTGTCCCTTCGCAAGTCAGAACGACTGGTTGGTACCTTGATTTTCACGCCTATTTACGCTATGCTGCCGGAAAGGTGCTCGCATCCGGAGGGTAGAGCGATGCAAGCAGCCCATCCCAGGTGAGAGATGTCCTTCCAGAGATACCAAGGCGCCTGCCAAGCGGATGACAGGCTTCAAAGAGGTGTGGCACAACTCTCGTGCTGCGCAGGCGATGAAGACGGAGCGTCTCTATGAAGCTGGTGGCAGCATTACATGGACGAGCCTCCCGGCTTTCAAGGAAGGCCAGTAGAGATGCGCAGTATCCGCACTGTCTTGAACAAGCAGTGCACTTTGATGTATGCCACGGCATTCCCAGAGTCACCCTGACTTTTGAGATTCATGACCGATGTCCTCATTTAGCGTGAGTGATGTCGTGAAGCAATGGCGAGTAACCCCCAAAAAGATAGAAAATGCAATCACTTATGTGACCCATAAGAATGATGATCTTGGGGCTGATTTATTGTTGACTTTACCACATTATCTGGTTGCTGGTTTGGAACATTTTTCATTTTTCCATACATTGGGAATGTCATCATCCCAACTGACTAACTCATATTTTTCAGAGGGGTGGCTCAACCACCAACCAGTCAATAACTGTTCAATCTTTTTGGGGTTACAAAATGTGTGGCGGACCAGACATTGTCGTGGCTACCCCGATTTTGAAACATAGGGGTTCTATGGTCCATTGGTACCCCAATTTTTGAGCTGTGACATCCATTTCGTTGCTTATTTCTACCTGGTCCATAGCCTCAAAAAATTGAGCACAGCTATGACATGATCAAGTTGGATTGGTTTTCACCATGGGGATGATCATCAATCCCGGGAGTGTCTAATTTGCTGAGGATTAGGGGGGACGACCCCAATTCTGCTGTTGGTCACAGGCTTGTTCCAAGCGAAAAGTTGGTCACATGGATAGCATTGGATCGGGATTTACCCGTCATTTTATCCTGAAGAATATGGGATGTTCGAAGATCTCTTTGAGATCTTGTGAGGAGTTTTTGAACTGTTCATATTCATCATATATTTCATCACATGTTATCATACTTTATCTACTCCAGAATGGACTATACCTCTCTATTTACCCATACGGCTGTATCATCGTGCAGATCCAGGACTTCACATAGCAGCGAGAAATGCCAAGCACCGCGGCAAGAATTCATGGCTTTGGGTAATCTGGGATTTTACCAAGAATGAATACTCCATACATCTTCATACCCTTTCTTGACCAAAAAAAACTAATGCTTGGGGTATCAATATACCATTTTTGGGTGTTTTTCTACCATTTTTGTCAGTTTTTACCAACAAACATGGATGGGTTTTTAGAAACCCAGATGGGATGGAGACTTGTCAGATTTCACTGGGGTGTTGAACAAAAACGCGACTATAAAACCAAGCATATGGGGATGTAAGAGTATCTATAACTGTAATAACCAACCATTCGATATGTGGGTTTCTGTGAAAATGCGGATGGGCTCCCATGTTGTAGTGTGGCAAGAATTGGGGCACCGTGAGTTGACGAAGTTTTTTGCTAAGAAGCAATGAGCGGTTGAATCTGGTGTCTCTAAAATGGCAGGCCTGATCAGACTGGACAACAACAAGCTCTGGAGGTCCGTCGAAAAAGATTGAATCATTCACTGGGAAATGTCCTGTATCATCCTGTATCCTATTTTTTGGAAATGTTCCTCATGTTGGCTTGTTGTTTGGTTTCATTCATCGAATGGGTCGAAGAGAAAATCTAGAGGGAACCATAATTTTCCCGTGGGTTTTGTACCCTCTGGTAATTTAACAGTTTGCTATTGAAAATGGCCATAGAGTCATAGTGGATTTTCCCACTAAAAATGATTTTCCATAGTTGTTTGTAGGTTTACCAGGCCGGGTAGTTTTTGTAGCAGTTTGCCCTCCAGCCCTCGACCGTGGCATTGTCCTTGAGCGTGCTGAGGACTCCGAAACAGAGGTGAGGATCAGTGGGCTTTAGGGCCTGATTGCAAAACAGTCAATTACACAATGTGGACAGCCAAAGATTATCACTAAAACACTGGCTATCAATGGCATGTTGATAGTTATAAGTTATTACCTATTATAAATGTGGATTATCAATGGGTATCTGATAGTTATTACCTATTATAAATGGATATCAATGGCATGTTGATGGAGGGCCTGGATTTCGCCTACCACGGGGATAGTGGACTTGCGCACCTTGTTGGGACGATCTAGTGATTTACCATGCTTTTCTAGGAGTTCAAGTATACAGATCTATAATTTTCATGTATATCTGGCAAGCCCATAATCACCATTAGTTCTATGGGTGGTATGTTGACCAGGGCCCACCAAAAAAAAAACGCTCGCCGGTCGCGTGCGAGGAGTGGACGGTGTGATCATGCAGCTGGTGCGATCCATCTTTTGGTTGTGACCAAATTTGAGGGCAAGCTCAGTAAATGACCCTCTGGTAAACATACAAACAGCTATTGAAACTGGCCATTTAGTTCGTTGATTTACCCATTAATAGCATGGTGATTTTCCACAGTTATGTGACAGTTTACCAGAGGGTAAATGATGGTTAGGATGAAGCGACCCTTGTAACTCCCCCAAACGCTCGGTTTCTTCCATCAGTGGCTAAACCGACAAAAATTCACCAGTTGTCATGGGAACTTCATTCCGAGGGATCACAAGTTGCGATTGAACATAGTTGTGTGGGATTTAAGGCAAGATACTACAGGCGATATTCAGAAGTAATCCATGTATCATTTGTCCTGTACTGGAAGGTGCTAAAGGCAGGAAATTGACAAGAATGGTGTAACATAATACAACCACCAATTTGAGTGCTAATGACGAACAGTTCGCTGATTTTTATCAGTAGTCCGCGACTTTGACCCAGACTCATGGCGGTCACTTTGTCTTCAAGCGATGTTTTTTTTCCGTCACTTCACAGATGCGTTGGCCGGTCGGCCACGAAACAGTCGCGGCCGGGCCGATGGATTTTCGGGGATCCACAGGTGCTCCGAGAAATCAGGAGACTGTGGGACCGAAAGGACCGACGTCGTTGGACATCCAACGTTTTCCCACCGTGCCCGGTGATCCAGGACGGGCTCATCACATCTTGATGGCACCGCTATGCGATGGCAGAGATACCGGGGATGAGTCGCCCCTGAAATTGTTCAACAACCGTGGCTGCCGTGGCTTACAATTTTTTATGGCGTTGAAAAGTGTTGAAACATCCCGAAGTTACTTATTAGTATACTATGATAATATGGTTATTATACACACTATATGGTAACCATTCAAGTTCCCAACTGCTCAACAGTTTTCAGGCAAGAATTGATACATTTGTTCACCTTCCGTGCCGTAGCTGTGCCATCAAGCAACGCAAAGACCTAAGCATGTCGAATCACGGACCCCAGGTGCTACAAGAATTGGTGCCTTGAGGCTTAGCGGCTAAGTCTGATTCATCAATCAGTGTATTTGTATGTATATGTAAGTATGTACAATGTATTAATGTTTCTCTGTGTGTATTGATGGTGATATTGTCCGAATGATATTGGTGCAACGAGATCAGCCCATGTGACATTAATGTGACATGGATAAGATGAGCCGCCCATGTTACGGGATTGCATGAGGCTCATATCAGATTATCATCTGGTTGGTGGTTTGGAACATTTTTTATTGTCCATTTCATATATGGGATGTCGTCCTTCCCATTGACTAATAACTCCATCATTTTTCAGAGGGGTTAGGACGAAAAACCACCAACCAGCCATGGCATGCTGTGTACCCTTGGGCAGCTACACCCCCAAGGGACCAAGTCGTCAACCTTCCGGATTTCCAGAGGTGCCTTTGTTGGACTTCCCCTGATGAACAGCCCCATTCTATGGTCCCAAATACCCTCTGGTTATTGAACAGTTCGCCATGGTTTTTCGATGGCCCATAGAAATAGATGGTTTACCGTTCTTAATAGCATGGTGGATCTTTCCATGGCGAACTGCAACAGTCATAACCAAAGGGTATATGCGATTTCATCCCGTGCAGGCACCGTTTCGTAAAACGGGTGTGTGTTTAATGACTCAACGCTGCAAAAATATACAATGCAGTTTTCATCGCTGAAAAAGTCCCCATTCTCTAAGAGTAAACCACCACGTTTAACTGACCATTTACATAAAGTGAAGGACATTGGCTACCAGCACTTTTGCTGAGGAAACCATCATGTAGATACTGTAGAAGTATGAACCTGGGTGCTATCCAATGCCCATCACCATAACTCCACCCTTGCGGATGGAATTCTTTCGAAAACACTGGCCAAACAAGCCAAATGTCTTCCCAAAGCGTCCAAATTGTTACTAGCAAAAGCTGGACCTAGCAAGTATCTCTGAGCTCCTCAGAATTTTCATAAAATCTTCATGGATTACCCAACGTTTCAAACTTTTGATGGTAGACTTGAAATCCTGCACTTCATGGAGACCCCCTTGGGTACCTCCAATCTAGTGGGCTTTGTTAAGCCCAAGGTGTAGGGGTTGATGGTTGATAACCCCAAAAAAACCCAAGAGATGGTGGCTCATAGTCATCTCCATGGGTTTGTTTGAAAATAAGCTACCCTCTGGTTATTTAACATAGCCATGGGAAATGGGCCATAGAAATAGATGGTTTACCTATTAATAGCATGGCTATGTTAGTCAGAACCAGATGGTACTCCATTCCATCCAGTTTCATCAGTTTCCTTATGTTGAAAACTTGTCATAACTGAGGTTTTTATCCACCATTTGAAAATCCATTTTCCTGGGATCCAGCTGTACAGATGTTTTTCCAGCTGCGCGAAACTTTCGCCAACTGCATTGGGATGAAGGTGAATGGTTTGAATAGTTAGTGTACATGGTTTGGTGAATGGTACCCTCTGGTAAGCTAACAGTTTGCTATTGAAAATTGCCCAGTCGAAATAGTTGATTTACCCATTAAAAAGGGTGATGTCCATTTAGTTCGTTGATTTACCCATTAAAAATTGTGAGCTTCATTGATTTTCCATCGTTTTTTTGTAGGTTTGCCAGGCCGGGTCAATGGTAAAATACGGCGGCTTGGTGAACGAAATCGCTAAGTTGGGGCTCACATACCTCCAATGTCACTATGGTTTTTGATACACAAATAACAATAGTTCATGGGGGTTTTATATTCTAACTTATAACTGGGGGGCCCCACATTGTATCTGTTTCTATATTTTTTGGGGGGCCGGTAGAAAATTAAGAATAAGTGTGTGGTACATGGTTTCAACCCTGGGATGATCCCCGAAGATCTTCGGGATGAAACCACCGAATATCAGTGCTTCTCTTTATGTGTTGCCAGCGGTCAGAAAGGTCAGCTACTCAAGATATGGCTATGGATCAATACCTATGAAAATAGCATATTTTTAATGGGTTATTCACATCCATTTTAACCCAGCTATGACTTGATGTGAACAAAAAAGGGGTACGTTACATTGGTTTTGACACAGTGCCATATGTTCAGCGCCTTCATCCCAGTTGGTTTATTCCACGGGTACAGTGATCCCAGTGATCCGGTGGAGCGGGACCCAAAAATGAAGAGATCCATGGCATGGCTCGGGGTAACTGGGTAACTCTGAGGGGGTTGCTGTTGGAAAGTGCAGTTTATGTCCTGTATGATCAATACCCTCTGGTAAACTAACAGTTTGCTATTGAAAAATCCCATTTATAGTTGATTTCCCCATTAATAGCATGGTGATGTTCGATAGTTATGTTAGTTTACCAGAGGGTATCATCCGAGAAATATCCAAGATGTTCTTAAAGTAGCACCTGAAATTGAAAGCTGCTGCGAGTCGCCATGCACCTATCCTGAAATTCTGCTCCAGGTTTGAAGCCTTTTGCATCCCATTTGCAGTTGATATTATATCACTGTTGTTGCAAATGATTTGTCATGTTATGTGAGATGTGAGTTTGTCAGCAAAAATACGGGAAATAAACAACCAAAATAATGGTTGACCATAATTTATGGTCCGATTCAAAAAGAAATAATGAAAATAGCCAGAAAGTGTGGCATCCTCCATGTTCAGACAAACCCAAGTACTTGGTGTATCCCCTTGTTGATCGTGAATCCCCATTATTCCCATTATAAAAGTGATAATCTCCATAAATTTACGGACAATCCCTTTCCATAACTCCATGACATCGCATCCCTTTCATCATCCTCCATTATTGGTATTCAACATGATTTAACCCAATTCTCATGCTTAAACCACCATCTTGCAGCATATGGTTGCTGGTTGAACCACCATTTTCCCTGGTTTACCCTCCAAACATACGAAAAGCCACCATTTCCAGTTCGTTGTTCCAAGGAAACCATAAGTTTTCCACATTTTTTGGGCTATCTTTACCCCAGGGTATCAATCTGCAGCTGGCAGTCCAGCCGTTTGGCACCACTCCGCGCAGACGCGCAGACGCCTGCCTTTCTGTACAGAAAAGTGGCGCTGGGTCGGTACCCAAAAAATCATGGGGTTAAGCATGTGAAAGGGTTACAGAATATGGATATCATACGTACCTATAGCTGCTACCTATCTTTGAAACTTCCATGCTGATCATTATCCCTATATGGCGGTTTCCTGAGATGGGGGTACCCCCAGTCGTCATCCATTTGATGTTCGGATGGTCCATCTTTCCAACCATCCAGCTATTGGGTGCCCACATGATGGAAACCTCCATATTGTGATGAGTAGAACTCCAAGACCTCTGGGGGGGAGCTCCTGGATCACAGTAGAACGAATGGCTTTTAACAGAAGTTTGAACCAATGACCATCTGGTTTTTTTCCTGCACTCGGAATTCCGAAATCCATGAAATGATCGTTCAGAAACGAACATGGGTGGAGCTGACCATCCTTGGGATGTAATGGCTGACCGATGATCTGGTGGGCTTTTTTCAGCAGTTTCTTTCTGTGCATTTTTTCTGGTTTTTTCAACCCACCAGGTTTGGTCCTGGTATTTTCTTTGCAGATGGGGATATATAGCCTTTTTGTAGCTGAAATTCACTTCTTTTTTCATGGGCCGATAGATAGATTCGCCTCGATGGTCGGTCAGTGAGTAGATCTAGCCGGCCCTTCGGCAAAAATGCTCCCAGGGTCCCATTCTAACAGTTTGCGAACTGGAAAATCACCACAATGGGACATGTTCCAGTTCGCAAAGTGTAAAAAAAATTGGAGGATAAATTCATGAATATCTCATGATTATCCTATTACCCCAATCGAAATGGTGGTTTCCCTATTGATGTTCCTGTAGGTTTCCCTCCTGTTGGGTTACTATTCTTACCATCTCATGGTTATCCTATTCTATCGGCTTCCTGTAGATGTTCCCGCCGGAGGCCCTGAACCGCATGGTGCGCGAGGACCCGGCTGCCCTCGAAACTGTGGCCATTTGGGGCGGTCGAGAGCTACTGGAGCAGGCTCTCCCGGTGAAACGACTCAGGAACGACC